TCAATGCACTTTCGTTGTTCCATTTCATTTCCTCGGGCAACGGGCCCAACCAGCTTGTGTGCTGACGTGAGAAAATGTCCTAAATTCGAATTTAATAATCAACTCACGTTCACCTCTTGAAAGCTAGTGCTCAAAAATGGAAACGCATCCTTTCTGGCTCACTTAACTCTCATTTTAATCCCAAAGTACATTCTAATCGAGAAATTTTGATAGATAAAATTAAAATTAACACTTACACGATAATATTGAACGGAAAAATTGCTATTGCACAAGTCCTCCTCACAACAATCGTCACAATTCACCTAAAAAGGGTTTTATTTTTGACTCAACAAGTACTTTAAATGTGTAGTATTTCGAAAAGTTGCCACTCTAGTGACAATGGGCTTTTTGTTGTTCAACAATTGTTCAACGCTTTCGACACTTTTTGACACGCTCTAGTACGGGAAATCCCATAGAAAGAGTGTTTCTTAAAAGAAAAGGGGCAATTATCTCAAATCTCTCTTTTCTCTTTTTGTCGGAATCCCTGAAATCTTACGTTTTCCTTTTTTTGTATGCTCATTTACGTTAAATGCTTCGTTTTTTTCTTTGAATGAGTGAAGAAGATTGCCTGCCTTCTTTATTCAATGCTAATTTAGTTTCTATTTAGTTTCTATTTAGTAAAACAATATGGAAACGAGCTGATAAACCTTTTTTAGAATTTGTATTTAATGTTTTCATTTGGTTCTAGGAAGGCTTTAAGCCTTTTTTTAAGGCTTCCTCAGCTCTTTGTGCTCACAGAAGAAATGTTTTCTTTTTGTACTTTTAATCGAATTAAAATATAAAAACAGTACCTTGAAAGTTAAAAGCTTTTAATGCAGTGTTGGCTATTGAGATAAGATAAAGAATAAAATAAAACAAAGATATCAAGAGATATCAGGATTTTCTAAACCTCAAATTTTTACTTTCCTTTTAGTTTTTTAGAGAACTCTAATGGGTATAATTGAAAAACTATGGAGATTGGAATAAAAACAAAAAGATAAGCTGCTATTTTTCTGGTGTAAAAAGCTTTTTTCTTTCTTTCTTTTGGTTCTAATTCAATATTTCGGATATCAAGAGATATCAGGATTTTCTAAACCTCAAAGTTTTCTTTTCCTATCTCAATTCGATTACGAGTCAACAGGCTTTCTTCAAGCGATTCAGAATTGCTCGAGTAGTAAATAAACCCGTAAGTTAGCTTAGCATTTCAATCAACAACACCAAAACAACTCCCATATTTTATTTTTCTTTTTCCAAAGCACCGATTCTTTCCCATTTGTTGCTATGTGAACGGGGGTGGAAAAAGTGAAGGAAAAAGGGGCGATTTTTCAACTAGGGAACATTTAGAAGAGATGTGAGAAGGCCATGAAAAGGTGCAAATGATGGAAATTCCCAAAGGAGAAGATCTTTTTCGGATATCGAAAAGAAAGAAAAAAAGGAGACAGGTTGATCTCTTGGAATCAGCGATTGCTTTGGAAATCTAGAGGACGGGTTCTTCAATGCTTCAAGTATGACTGGTACGAAATTCCTTCCCTTTGAAGCAGGCTTTTTTGATTTCTAACTATTTTTACTACAAATGTTTCCAATTTTTTAAATTCAGTGTTTGCAAGTTGAAAAGTTTAACAATCGTTTTCTAATTTTAGCGTTTCTAATTGTTAATTTCCATGCAATACTGGAAATTATTCAAATTTCTTAAGGCATTAAGCGTGTATTGTTAGACTTATCTTGACTAGTAATCAAATCACAGATTTCAAAATTCCCCTACTCTATCCTTCTTCCACTCGACCGCTTTCAATAGAATTCGATAGAATTCGGCTCGCATATTTTTTCCCCGCTCCGAAATATTGAATTAGAACCAAAAGAAAGAAAGAAAAAGGCCTTTTACACCAGAAAAATAGCAGCTTATCTTTTTGTTTTTATTCCAATCTCCATAGTTTTTCAATTATACTCATTAGGGTTCTCTAAAAAAACTAAAGGAAAAGAAAACTTTGAGACTTAGAAAATCCTGTTATCTCTTGATATCTTTTTTTTGTTTTAATCTTTATCTTATTCATCTTTACCTGATCAAAACCAAATCCCTCACTCTCACAATATTCCGAGCATCGCTCACCGCATCCTCGCGAAACTGAGGTGAACGCGTCTTGGATTGTTGTGATTGATGTCTAAAGCTGAAAATTTTCTGAAGCTACAAAGCTTTTCTAGCTTTTATAGCTTTATTCGTAGCTTTTATAGCTTTATTGGTAGCTTTTATAGCTTTATCCACAGCTTTTACAGCTTTATTGGTAGCTTTTATAGCTTTATCCACAGCTTTTACAGCTTTATTGGTAGCTTTTATAGCTTTATCCACAGCTTTTACAGCTTTATCCACAGCTTTTACAGCTTTATTCATAGCTTTTCTAGCTTTATTCATAGCTTTTCTAGCTTTATTCATAGCTTTTCTAGCTTTATTTACAGCTTTTCTAGCTTTATTCACAAATTTTTAAATAATAAGAAGAAATCTCTTCACCAACCACACAATACGGCTCCCAACTGCCACAGATTTTCGACGTTTGCTCGGTTTCGTAGAGGATAAGGCTCTAAATATCTTGATAGATAAAACAATCTTAAAAATATCTAGAAACACCTCATTAGCACACCAGGCATCCCTATGCTCCATATCGTATTGTTCAGTGAACGAGAAAGAGCACGAGTAGCACCGAAGTGTGACAAAGACCCGCATTTTTAAGGATAATAGAATAAAAGCTTTGAACATAATATTATTTTATAATAAAGAAAAGCTCTAGACGTAAAATAGCTAAAGTTTTTTTTAAGAGTAAAAGGGATCATTTTGTTCGTCTCTTTTCTCTTTCACCTATCGACACCGGAAGCCATTCACGCTTGGGATGGAATAGAACCAAAAAAGGATCTCTTTTTTGATCTTAGTCACTAAATTTTTTGTGAGTGAACGAAAACAAAAGTTTTTTTTTTGGTATTGCATTCGAGTTTTACTCATTCTAAGGCTTTGAACAAGTTCTTTAATCATTTGTAATCATGCAAATTTGTGGTTTGTTCGTTGAGGTTTACTTTGTGCTTTCAAGCATCCCCTTTTGGTGCACTTAATTCTTCTTTTCTTCTTTAAAATGAGTTCAGAAAGGAATGTGTTTAGATTTTGCTTGTGAGCACAAAGTACACTACTGGACAATGAAATATGATATTTGAAAAAAGATCGTCACTTTCGCGCGTCACTCTGTAACTCCCTTATCTTTACCGTCTTTCTAAATATTAATATTATCATTGTGTAGCCCTTGAAAAGAGCTTTCAGAAAATGTATAACACTAATAGTTTAAACTCAAAGACAAGGGAGACGCGCGAAAGTGACGATCGTTTTTTCAAATATGATATTTCATTGTCCAAACTCTCCACCAATTCTTCACCGAAAATCTCTCTACCCGAGTTTTCTTTCGCTTTACCCAAACCAGCACAACCCTTTAGCACTTACAAAGCTCCCTATTACACTCAGAATATTGACTTTGAGAAAATCTCCGAGATTTTCCCCGCAACCTTGCCCCAATTCATTCAATACGAGCCCTCGTTGAAATTGTTGTTGAAAAATTTGAGAGAAACGAAAGATGTGAAAGATGAGTATTGATAGGATTTTGAGTTTGGATTGAACTCGCTAGGAAATGCCAAATCGGCTGAGCTACACTACTGGACAATGAAATATGATATTCGAAAAAAGATCGTCACTTTCGCGCGTCTGTAACTCCCTTGTCTTTGAGTTTAAACTATTAGTGTTATACATTCTTGGTGTTCCGCTGTCAGCTGCTCTCTGTCAGAGTTCACTTGGATGGCCGGCCGTTTACTATATTTCCGGTAAGCTTTGAAAGAGGTAATGTACACTACTGGACAATGAAATATGATATTTGAAAAAGATCGTCACTTTCGCGCGTGTATAACTCCCTTATCTTTACCGTCTTTCTAAATATTAATATTATCATTGTGTAGCCCTTGAAAAGAGCTTTCAGAAAATGTCAAACACTAATAGTTTAAACTCAAAGACAAGGGAGTTACAGACGCGCGAAAGTGACGATCGTTTTTCAAATATCATATTTCATTGTCCAGTGATGTATATCTAAAGGTATCAGACAATTCTCTATCGACTTTTCTTGTTCTTTTCAACTTCAGTTTTATCGTTGGTTCTGTCCGATTTGAGTAAAATAAATGATTTTTAAGATGACTTCTCGAGCAGTGATCTCAAGTGATTCGCGAAGAGCTTCCGCGATTCGTTCATTTCTTCACGTTGGTGGGATTGCGTCGTTGAGTCCACAAACGCTATGTGAGTTTTAAAAGGATGTGTACCAGATAGAATGTGTTTACAAGTAGAAAAAAAAGCATGATAAAGGCATGAAATTCAAAAACGATTCAGCAAAATTCTCTACCACGATCAACTTGATTGCTGGCTTTCGTTTGTCTGCTCCTCCACAGGTAAGTGAATTGACTGAATTTATTTCTTCATTAGTTTATTTTCCATTTGATTCATTTACAGATGCGCGTCGTTCACATTCCACTCGACGACGACGAGAATCAAGACCTCTCCGCCTATTGGACTACAGTTTTTCAGGTTTTTTTGAAATGTTATCTAAACTTTGAGGCATTAAACTTCAATGTTACAAGTTGTAAAAGTTGTAAAGCTAAAACTTTATAAAAAAAGCTACACTACTGGACAATGAAATATGATATTTGAAAAAAGATCGTCACTTTCGCGCGTCTATAGCTCCCTTATCTTTACCGTCTTTCTAAATATTAATATTACCATTGTGTAGCCCTTGAAAAGAGCTTTCAGAAAATGTATAACACTAATAGTTTAAAATCAAAGACAAGGGAGTTACAGACGCGCGAAAGTGACGATCTTTTTTTCAAATATCATATTTCATTGTCCAGTACTGTATATCTAGATTATCGACGATGAGCGAAAATCGGGTGGGAAAGTGCTTTTGCTTTGTGCGATGGGAATCTCTCGATCGGCCACTTTTGCAATCGCTTATTTGATGTGCAGAGATCGGTTGGTTTGAATAAAATAAAAAACCAAGTCATAAATGATCGTCTTAAAGCTTAGGAAGCTTTCAAGATGGAAAAAAATATCAGGATATCAACATATCTAGGCTCACCCTTCACGACGCGTACAAGGAGGTGCAGCGACGACGAAACATTATTTGTCCGAACATTGGTTTCTTCAAGCAAATGATCGAATTGGAAGAAAAGGTGATTATGGTTGAAATGGGCTCGGTTTTCAAGCAAAAATATAACCAAATTAAAGCCAAATTTCATGATTTAACATTACTGGGGTGGCAAAATCAAGCTCAAACTGTTTATGCTTGATTCTGAAGCCGGAATTCGTAAAAGTTTAGGTGCCAGCTCTCGTATTTGCTTAAAAACAAAGAACACCAATAGTGTTTCTTCTTCAAAAATCCAAAAATTCAGTTCTACAAGCGAAACACGGTTCGTATCATCGAGCCACTCGATGGAGTGCCGGTGGCGGACGTCGTTTGGAATGAGCTCTACGATGAGATGCTGCAATCGATGAGTTCGACGAATCGGGATGTATTGAGGTCGGTTATCTGAAGCTAGATCCTAGAGCTTATAACTAAGCTTTGTTATAAGTTGTTATAAGCTTATAACTAAGTTTATAACTAGAGCTTATAACTAGAGCTTATAACTAAAATTTCATTTCCAGAACTCTTCATCCATCAGCTAGCTCAATGACGATGCGAGAACTATCACTGAATCTCGAGAGCCCTACAGAAGAAAGCCCAAGACCGTTGAAAAAATCCGCTTCCGGGAACAGTATTCTAAGTATTTTTGGGTGGAAGGATTCAAAAAAGACACCAAGAAGCGCAAAAATCGATTTGAAATTATTGAAAAAAGGGAAAACGAGAGGAGATGAGAGGATTGGATGGATGAGTGCAAGAGGAGAAGGGAGTGGAGGTGAGTCAAGTTGATCAAGAAGGTGATCAAGAAGTTAAGTATTGGGTTGGTGCATTGAAAACTGCCGGACTTTGAACGAAACTTTATTCAACATAAAACCATAAATTCATTCGAAATAATTTCCATTATTATTGACGACTTCTGCCCATTTTACAGGCAATTTGCGGATTCTCTTTCGTGATAGGATTTTGGTTCTGAATCGAAAAACTTTTCGAGCCAATTTTTGACTGCTTCTTCCGAATCGAAGTGTTCTCCCGCAAGCTCATTACTCATGGTCCGGAATAAATAGTAATCAGAAGGGGAAAGGTCCTGACTGTATGGGGAATGCGCCAAAAGTTCCCAAACAAGGCTGTTTATTTTAGAGCGAGTCAGTTTTGCAACATGAGGGCGCGCGTTGTCGTGGATGAGAACGATCTTTGACTTGAAGGGCCTATTCTTCTTTAGGGATTCATTCACCTTTTCCAACTGTTCACTGTATTTGATTGCATTAAAGGTCGTCTTGCTATCCAGCAACTCCCAGTACACCACTCCCTCCATATCCCAGAAAACGCAGAGCATAAACTTCTTCTGGTGCAAATCGGGCTTGGGGTCACTTTCGGGTTTCTCACCTGGCCCCACCCATTGCCGCTTCCTCCGAAAGTTCACAGATAAAACCCATTTCTCATCTCCTGTCACAATTCGTGGAAGAAAGGATTTCCTTTCGTATCGTGAGAGATGAGCGGCACTGATCGAGGCGCGCTGCCACTTCTGGGGGTCAGTGAGGTCATAGGGCACCCAAGTCCCAAGTCTCGATTTAAATCCAAGGGTATGAAGGTGCCTTAGCACTGTAACATGATCAACCCCTAACTCTTCTCCCAATTCACGCGATGATACCCGATGGTCGTTGGTAATGAGTTCGAGTAATTTGGAATCATCCAGCCGGGGTGCCGCTCCACGGCCCTCTGCATCTTTCAAAGAATTGTCCCCAGATCGAAACTGGGCAAACCATACTTTGTTCATGGCGAACCATACTGGACATGTTCTTTCGGAAGGTGAGTCCTCCCCATATATCTCTTTAATATTACCAGCTGCCAAGCCTGCACTGTGCTCTTGTAGGAACTCATGAAGCATGACATGACGAATATGTCACGGTGGCAGATTGTCGAGTGCAATAGAAGAAGTGAAGAAAAATACCAAAAAATAAAAAGCTGGAAGCATAATTTTTTTCGCAATAATTTGAGGAAATGTTGAAGTAACCAAACCCCCTTTCAGCTGGTTCAATGCTGTTGTTTTTTATCTGCGAGTCCCGCGAAATAGCCGGGTTTTCAATTCACCAATCCAATACATAGTTGGGCCTTTTTAAAGTCCAGTAGATGGCAGTAGAAGTAGAAGAGACTGAAATAGGTTTGAAATTCGGTAGATATTCAGTGATCAATTTGCAGGGGATTCATCACGAGGTTCATCGTCTGGATCCACGTCGCTCACCTCGACGTCACCCTCTTCATCGCAGACGTCGATCGGACAAACGATATCCAGAGAGACTCAAGAGGAAATATTGCTCTCACCGTTGAAATGATTCTATGTAAAGTGGAGTTAATAAATATTCAATTCCTTTGAAATTCTCAATTTTTTTGGTAACTTACGGTATTTGAAGTAGACTTTAGAAGGCTTTAGAATGCTTTAGGATGCTTTAGGATGCTTTAAGATGCTTGAGGATGCTTGAGGATGCTTTAGAATGCTTTAGAATGTTTTAGAATGCTTTAGAATGTTTTAGAATACTTTAGAATGCTTTAGAATGCTTTAGAATGTTTTAGAATGCTTTAGAATGCTTTAGGATGTTTTAGAATGCTTTAGAATGTTTTAGAATACTTTAGAATGCTTTAGAATGCTTTTGAATGTCATTTTTCAATCAAGTACCCATTTTCAATTTTCAAAAGTTTCTTGCACTTTGCTATGTTGATTAGTCTTCTTTGATTGAAACACGTGTTCAAACAAAGATGGATATCGACAGAGATTTGTCACTTTTATCCTAATTAGTCCAAAAGAGGGCGGTGTATTTGATCTCTTTTTTTTGTCGTTCAAGAGAATAGGGGTCAATATTTGGTACAAATCGTCGATCACACTTCTCTTTTCCAATAAAGGCTTTGAGGGGAATTGGTTTAATTGGATTAAAGAAGGGGAGATTATCTTTTGAAAGAGAGTAAAGAGAGCAAAGAGAAGAGATCGAGCCATCCATAAGGGGATCTGTGAAGGGGTTGAGATGGGGCGTAGTGTAACACCCGCCAGATGCCTACACATCCACCTTCACTCATCAAAATCGAATTGTTTTAAATTCGATCTTCATTTCAAATAAAAGTTAGCTCTAATGTAAGTAAAGAAATTGAAGAAATTGAAAGTATGAGTGTCGCTTTTTAAAAGTCGATCATTTTAGAGGTAATTCAAGATCACTGCAAGTTTAAAGAAGAATTTGAACTAATTTTTACTTAAACAACTATGCGTTTTAAAGTTCTATAATATCTGTGGCGATATTGATACTATTTATATATATATTGTGTCCGATTTAGATTTCCGTCCGATTTAGATTGAATCTAAATCGGACGTCCGATTTAGATTGAACTTATCGCGGACGTCCGATTTAGATTACAGTCTATATCGGACGTCCGATTTAGATTCAATCTAAATCTTATATGGATTGAACAATAATATAAACATGCTTAATATATGTTCTTAAGCGTTTTCTGTAGTTTTCTGCATTTTTCAAAGGTCTTTTATTGATTACAGTCTATATCGGACGTCCGATACAGATCGAACAATAATAAACGTGCTTAACATATGTTCTTTGAAAATTTCTTTGAAAAGCGCAGAAAATTGCAAAAAAACGCTTAAGAACATATATTAAGCACGTTTATTATTGTTCGATCTGTATCGGACGTCCGATATAGACTGTAATCTAAATCGGACGTCCGCGATAAGTTCAATCTAAATCGGACGTCCGATTTAGATTCAATCTAAATCGGACGGAAATCTAAATCGGACACAACATATATATATACTATTGATTTCACAATGAAAGATGTTGTGGCGTCAATTGAATTTTGACTAACTGTAAAGCAATTGCCACTGCCCTGCAGTTAGTCTAAATTCAATACACAAGTTAAAATTGAAAGTTGATGGATAAACTACCGTAATCAGCCAATCTAGACGATATTCAGTTGTCCATTTGTCGTAGCTTGTGTACTTAAAAACCCATTATTTAAGCTTTGTCTTGAGTCAGTTGTGGGCTCCCTTTTCTATTCATTTCTTTTTCTATTCTTTTCTATTTTTCTATTTCTATTCTATTCTTTTTTCACACGCAAGTGTTGAAGTAATTGTGATAGTGCTAGGTTGCTCGAGTTTAAGCGAAATTTACCCTAATAAAGGAAAGTTTCGATAAATTGTGCATTTTCAAGACATCTACCATTGAACCACACCGAGACACGGTCTCACAAGAAATTATAAACATCAAAGCATAAATCTATTGGGTTGGTGAATTGAAAACTGCGGGCTATTGTCATATGTGACAGTTTGAGCACTTTCTTCAAAAGAAACCCATTTTGGTGTCAATGGAAAAGCTCAAAGTCTAAATATATATTTCTTATAATACTTTTGAATGCCTACATTAGAAATTTCCCCTTTAAATGCCTATATTTTCGGCCAATATTGAAAATCAATTCACGGCAATCAACCGACTAATTAGTGTTGATTGAGATATGCAAAAGAAAAAGAAGATGGATAGACTGTGATTATCCGGTTATGCAACCCGAAAACATCTGTGGATCTATTGTTTTGGTGTCAAGCAAAACGGAGTAAGAGAGAGAGAGGAAAAAAGAAGAAAGTGCTTGGAAAGTTTAAAAGAAAGATAACTATCAAATACTTATAGGCTTGTTTTAAACCAATTTTCTATTAAGGCAGGTAAAGCCAAGCCTGAGCTGGCTAGCTGACCCAGAAAAAGTTCTAGAAGCTGGACTTCGGCTTATAAGGGCTTGACTCTACTTCTAGGCTTACAAAAATAGGATCAGAACTAGCTCAGAGCTCTTGAAAATCCTGCTTATAGATACTGTAATTGTAATAACACTTGTAACTCGTAATTGAACGTAATAAGTAACTCGATCAAAAGCTCAAGATCTCAAGATCAAAGCTAGCTTATTGTAAAGGTGATCGATCTTGAAATTACCGTTATTTATTATCATCAGTTTTTTTCCAAATCCACAACTCTATTAGTTGACCAAGTGATGTCTTTAGATCGATATTGTTCAAACTTTCAAACCAACTAATTGCCATTGTTCTTGAGACAAAACAAAAACACCCAACAAGTAAATGGTGTGATCAAGAGTGGGGCAAAGTGTGGGTTGAGTGTCGATAATTATCTCTCACTTTATTTAGGAAAGAGTTATGCTAAGAAATGAACGGTGAGCTGACAGGTGCCGCCTCTGCGGGTGGTGACACTGTCGAACAACGCGACAAAAACATTCATAAACATCATTTGGATAATGGACTAGATGCCTTGCGTGTATGTCTTAATATTCCTGCATGGCATAGGTACTTTTGTAAATCAGGTTGGCAGTAAAGCCAAGCCAGATTAGCCAAGCCAGCCAAGCCAGCCAGCCAGCCAAGCCAGCCAAGCCAGCCAAGCCAGCCAGCCAAGCCAAGCCAGCCAAGCCAGCCAGCCAAACCAAGCCAGCTAGATGAGCCAGCTAGATGAGCTAGCTTTTGGTCAGGTTTCAAAAAGTATCATTGAAACAACCAGCTCAGGCTTAAACTTAAGCTGTACTGTAGACAGCTTTGTCTAGTCCATCAAAGTGGCAATTCCATCAAAGCTGGTACAATAGAACAATGACCTCTGTCAAGCTTAACTTTGAGTAAATTCCCTGAATGTGTATGAGGTTGCACTTCTTCATAAGTGAGTGAATGAAGTGGATGAGGAAGAGTGAAAGGGGGGGCAAAAGTTGTCAGAGACAATTAGGACCTTCATAAGGACTCTCCTCTCTCATAGCCTTTTCCCATCCCCAATTTCTCCGTTTCTTCGCCTATTCATCTCCCGATGATTGCCTATTTTCAGCTCCTTTTCAACTTTTCGCTTTTCAAGATAGAAGATACATTGACTGGACTCCTCTTTTCTTTCCTATTTGATCTAATTGCTCACCTCATTACCCGATGGAGTACGGTAAAAAAAGTGTATCATTTTTGAGAAGGATAATTAGATTTCTTGCCTCTTTGATTTATTCAATTTCAATGATTGAAGTCTTGCATGATGTTGAATGAAGAAGATTGTTCATTACATCGAAAATCATAATATAAAACTCTTGTAAGAAAGTAAGTCCTTCTCTAGCGTAAAGTTGAGATCCAGTAGGTTGTTCATTACATCGAAAATAATATAAAACTCTTGTAAGAAAGTAAATGCTTCTCTAGCGTATAGCTGAGATGCAGTAGGTTGCTCATTACATCGAAAATCATAATTTAAAACTCTTGTAAAAAAATAAGTCCTTCTCTAGCGTAAAGTTGAGATGCAGTAGGTTCCTCATTACATCAAAAATCATAATATAAAGCTCTTATAAGAAAGTAAGTGCTTCTCTAGCGTAAAGCTGAGATGCAGTAGGTATTTAAACTTTAAAAGAAAAACTTTAGTACAAGTGACAATTGTTGCAAGAAGTACTTCTACTTTTGCAATATTTTTTCATCACTAAATCACTGAATCACTGATTTCATTGTGTAATAGAAGATCAAAATTGCTTTGTGAAATCTTTTGAGTATTCAGAAAGTTCAAAGCTTTAATTCTTACTTATGCACTGATTGATTTAAGTGAACTTTTACTCAAAAATCTCTAAACGCTGACCTTCTGACGTACTCGATCCTTTTACAGCAATCTTAAAAAGGATTAATTTCAATTGATTTCACAATGAAAGATGTTGTGGCGTCAATTGAATTTTGACTAACTGTAGAGCAATTGCCACCGCTCTGCAGTTAGTCTAAATTCAATACACAAGTTAAAATTGAAAGTTGATGGATAAACTACCGTAATCAGCCAATCTAGACGATATTCAGTTGTCCATTTGTCGTAGCTTTTGTACTTAAAAACCCATTATTTAAGGTTTGTCTTGAGTCAAGTTGTGTGCTCCTTTTTTTATTAATCCTTTTTTTTCACACGCAAGTGTTGAAGTAATTGTGATAGTGCCAGGTTGCTCGAGTTTGAGCGAAGTTTGCCCTAATAAGGGAAAGTTTTGATAAATTGTGCGTTTTTCAAGGCATCTACCATTGAACTACACCGAGACACGGTCTCACAAGAAATTATAAAGCTCAAAGTCTAAATATATTTCTTACACCATCAATGAATGATTGGTGACTCATTGTTTAAAACTACTGATTTCAAAGCCCAATTTTTGATAGAGCTTTGTTCAATTACTGATTTCGATTGATTTTTCTAAGTTCTTGACTTTCCAACTTTTAGTTTTATCATTTTTATAGAATAGGCCCTCCAAGTCAAAGATCGTTCTCATCCACGACAACGCGCGCCCTCATTTTGCAAAACTGACTCGCTCTAAAATAAACAGTCTTGGTTGGGAACTTGCACTGGCACATCCCCATACAGTCCGGACCTTTCCCCTTCTGATTACTATTTATTCCGGACCATGAGTAATGAGCTTGCGGGAGAACACTTCGATTCGGAAGAAGCAGTCAAAAATTGCCTCGAAAAGTTTTTCGATTCAAAACCAAAAACCTACCACGAAAGAGGAATCCACAAATTGCCTGTAAAACGGGCAGAAGTCGTCAATAATATTGGGAATTATTTGGAATGAATTGATGGTTTTATGTTGAATAAATTTTAGTTCAAAGTCCGGCAGTTTTCAACTCACCAACCCAATAAATTTCTTACAGATTTGCTTTTTACAGAAACTTTCCCATTCAATGTCTAAATGATGATTTTGCTTTCAAATTGAGCATTCATATTGAGCATTGAGAAGATTGAATCGACAAATCACTTATGATTTGCATAAAAGAGCAATTGAACAGAGATTACAGGGATAAATAGGAGGCCTTATTTGACCGAGTAAATCACCACTTCACCTCTCAATCAACAAAAAAAAATGAATTGATTTGTTTAAAAGTATCATTTTAAAAATATGATCTCACGCTTAACATTAAAAAATATTAATTTGGGAGTGGGACAAATGGACAAATGGACAAATGCGACAAATGGACACATACGACAAATGGACAAATGCGACAAATGGACACATACGACAAATGGACAAATGCGACAAATCTAGGTAATTTTAGGGCGTAGAATCGAAATTTTGAAATATCAGAGCTTGTGGAAACAAACGGACGGAGTTATACAAAGAGAAAAATCGACAATTTTCTGTAATTTGATCTAGCCGTTTTTGGTTTGCTTTGTCTTTGAAATTGGTTCCACACGCTCTGTTATGTCAAAATTTGAATTCGACACCCTAAAATTACCTAGAAAAAGAACTTTTGGAATAGAAATTGGTTAATATTAGCTTTTTAGAGCTTTTTAAAACGCGAAAAAAGGTGCGCTAATGGGTCAGGTGCGGAAAAAAAGGTGCGCAAATGTCCGGGTGCGCAAAAAAAAGGGTCGCATTTGTCCCAATCCCAATAATTTTAAACTTTTTCAAACCTTTGAACAACCCTGCATCTCTCAAAAAGATCTTCAACTAAAGAAATCGGTATTCTAAAAGTATCTAAAGAAACACTTTAACAAAACTATTTAGATATTTGTAAGAAGTTAAGAGATCTCTGATCTATATTCTTATCTTACTGTAATTAGCGTCTATTTGAGTCGAAGTCCTTCTTGTCAGTCCCTTCTTGTTCACAGAGTTCATAGAGTTGCCTATTGGTTACCCAAGACACGCCCCATTCATTCATCCTTTCTCAACCTCAACTCTAAAATGGGATCGGATTTGGATTTGGATATCCTTGATTAATTCTTCTCAAAGTTAAGCAGTGTTCTCGAAATCTAGAGTTACTTTCAAACAACGATTTTCCCTCCCCGGACAAGATCAGTCTGATTTTCTGACTTCTGACCAAGTTCTGATTGACTTGACACCAAGTTCTGATTGATTGGCTTCAACTATTCGATTCAGAAGTCAATTCATTAACTATTCTATTTATTGAAACTCTTTTCTGTCTTTCTAAAGTGATGATGTCCGATCATTCGAGTCTTCCCTCAAAATTCTCGATCGAAGACTTGTTGAAGTGAGTGCGAGTTTTTCGTTTTTCACACTAAAAACCTTCGTCTATTCATTGAAAGCGCTAATTGAGAGCTAAGTGATTATTGAAGTTTTTAGAAAGTAGCTTACCTTTCTAGCTTAAGTTAAAGCTTAAGCTTAAGTTAAACACCAGTTTGATGATCAATCAATCAACTTGACTTTCAGTACCCAAAACGATGCGATTCAAAGGGCGCTGAATCAACGCTTCAAATTCGATTTCAACTTTGCCAAAGCGGACACGTCAACACTTTCGGTGAGTTTAACAAGTTGAGAAATTTGAACAGGTCACTTTCAGCCTTGAGTGCCTCAACTAGTGCCTCAGCTAGTGCCACAGCTGGTGCCTCAGCGAGTGCCTCAGCTAGTGCCTCAGCTAGTGCCTCAGCTAGTGCCTCAGCTAGTGCCACAGCTAGTGCCACAGCTAGTGCCTCAGCTAGTGCCTCAGCTAGTGCCTCAGCTAAAAAACAGCCAAATTTAAGGCAAAAATTGAGGCATGTGTGTTGTGTGAGGCCAACTGCATTGAGAAACGATATTGTAGCGCTGACAGTGATTTAAACATTTCAGGATCTCCCCTCCACCCGTTCACCGTCCGCAAAACGCTCGATTTCCCCACAAACAAGCGCCTCACTTTCCCCATTGACCGCCTCACTTCCAGCGACCCTTTGCGGCACTTCTGGAATTCGTGAGTTTATTTTCGACTTTTAACAATTACATAATACGCATCTCCAGCAGAAATTGAAGAATTTCAGTTGGACTTTTGTTTTGTTTTGTTTTGTTTTGATTTGTTCTAAGAATTTCAGTTGGATCCACCGCTGCCGACGTTCCCTTTTGGTTAATGTCGATCGATCAATCAGCGCTTTTGATGGCACAACGATCCGGTAAGGGTTTGAGATTTCTTTAAAGTTTCATTATCGTATTAGAGATTTTAATCTATAGGAATTATTTCAGTTTTCCCTCAAATCTGGACAAGTGCCGACGCGTTGCGACTGGCTGCCGTCGGGAAATCGTATCGCCGGAGGAAAGTGAGTTGAAAAAGAAGCATAAAATTGTTGCAAATCTTTGAGTGAGAAGCATTCTTTCATCATGTATATATTCTGTGTTTGTCAGGCGCGCACGGTTTTCTCCGATGCTCAGCTGCAAGGCCTTGAGAGACGTTTCTCCACACAGAGATACTTGAGTACTCCAGAGAGAATCGATCTCGCCGAACATCTCAATCTTTCCGAGACACAGGTTGACTAAAGTCTAATCTTTTACTCAACCATTATCAGATTCTAAATTTTAATCTTTACTTAACAAATTTACATGTATTGGTTGACTATTTTGTTGGTTTTGGTTGAGTGGGTAAAGATGCAAAAGGGTTATCGGAGATTTGCCATTATCAATCTAACTTTGAGCTCAAATTTCTTCGTGTTTGGCTTTTTTAATCTAAAGATTTTTAATCTAATTGAATGCGTTAAGTCTTTTTCTGTCGATTGGTACAAAAACCATTTAAATTGAAAGGCTTAAAGGTAAGATATTTGAGCTCAAAGTTCGATTGGTAATAGCAAAATGTTGCACAAATTTGTAAAAGTATCAGAAAAAAGAAAGAAAGAAAGAAAGAAAGTTAAAGGTATTGTTTTACAAAGTAGTGATGCTAACTTTTATATTTTTTTCATTTAAATTCATTTTCAATTTACCGTCACTACTTTGTAAATGACGGTAAATGTAAAACAATACCTTTAACTTTCTTTCTTTCTTTCTTTCTTTCTTTTTTCTGATACTTTTACAAATTTGTGCAACATTTTGCTATTACCAATCGAAATTTGAGCTCAAATATCTTGCCTTTAAGCCTTTCAATTTAGAAAGTTAAAGGTATTGTTTTACAAAGTAGTGACGGTAACTTTTATATTTTTTTTTCACTTAAATTCATTTCCAGGTGAAGACGTGGTTTCAAAATCGCCGAATGAAGCATAAAAAAGTTGTTCGTTGTGGGAAAGATGGAGAAATGATGCAAATAATCGAAGATGATGAAGGAGCAGAGATTTCTGAATAGAGAACATCTCATTTCTTCTTTCTTTTTCTTTTAATTCATCTCAAAATTTACGCTTTATTGATTTATGATTTGTGTGATTCGATAAAAGAAATCATATTAATAAGTTAATGAGAATGATTTTAAAAGTTTTTTGACAAGCAGACAAGCAGACAAGCAACAAAATGATAAGCAGACAAGCAACCAAGCAACACAATGACAAGCAGACGAGCAGACAAGCAACACAATGACAAGCAGACAAGCAGAAAAGCAGCAAAATGACAAGCAGACGAGCAGACAAGCAACACAATGACAAGCAGACGAGCAGACAAGCAACAAAATGACAAGCAGACGAGCAGGCAAGCAACACAATGACAAGCAGACGAGCAGACAAGCAGACAAGCAACAAAATGACAAGCAACACAATGACAAGCAGACAAGCAACAAAATGACAAGCAGACAAGCAACACAATGACAAGCAGACAAGCAGAAAAGCAGCAAAATGACAAGCAGACGAGCAGACAAGCAACACAATGACAAGCAGACGAGCAGACAAGCAGCAAAATGACAAGCAGACAAGCAACAAAATGACAAGCAGACAAGCAACACAATGACAAGCAGACAAGCAGAAAAGCAGCAAAATGACAAGCAGACGAGCAGACAAGCAACACAATGACAAGCAGACGAGCAGACAAGCAGCAAAATGACAAGCAGACAAGCAACAAAATGACAAGCAGACAAGCAACACAATGACAAGCAGACAAGCAGAAAAGCAGCAAAATGACAAGCAGACGAGCAGACAAGCAACACAATGACAAGCAGACGAGCAGACAAGCAGCAAAATGACAAGCAGACAAGCAACAAAATGACAAGCAGACAAGCAGCAAAATGACAAGCAGACTTTAAATCTGTTTATTGAGTCCATTGCTTTATTTTTTCCTTATTTTTATGCTTTATTTTGCTTATTGCTTTATTTTTATACATGAATGTAGGTGTGAAAAGGTTTTGAATGGAAAAAATGGGAAAAGCTTAAAGTTTAAAGGGGTATTTCAGTCTAAAAGTTGTCTCTCAAGAATTGCGATCATTTATATATTATTCAATGTGGTTTTAATCTTCTCTACAAACTATTTCCTATATGAAAAAAAACAAGGTTTCCAATCGAGAAATGAAGAAAAACTCCAATTTTTTTGCTGATGATGAAGGGGCAGAGATTTCTGAATAGAGAACATCGCATTTCTTCTTTCTTTTTCTTTTCATTCATCTCAAAATTTGACGCTTTATTGATTTATGATTTGTGTGATTCGATAAAAGAAAAAAACATATTAAATAACTAATGAGAAAGATTTAAAAAGTTTTTGTGCAAAAATGACAAGTAGAATTTAAATCTGTTTATTGAGTTCATTGCTTTATTTCCTTAACATTTTCATACATAAATGTAAAGTGTGGAAAGCTTTTGAATGAAAAACTGGGGAAGTTTAAAGGGGTATTTCAGTCTAAAAGTTGTCTTTCAAGAATTGCGATCATTTATATATTATTCATGGCGTTTTAATCTTCTCTACAAGCTATTTCCTATATAAAAAACAAGGTTTCCAATCGAGAAATGAAGAAAAATGCAATTTTTTGCTTTCCATCTAACCCTAAAACGTGAAGATTGGGGGCGAAAAGTATATACCGTATTTTCTCTAATATTAGTGCACCCTGAGCCTTGCCTAAATTCCTTGAAATCTCGAGAACCGCTTATCAGAACCTATCGATGTGGGGTCGGAAAATATAGCTGACGATGAGATCTAGTGGAGGATTTGAGTGTTGGACTTCTGTGAAAAATTGGAAACTGTAAAATAGTGATCAACTCGGCTCACCGGGAAATATTAGGGAAATAGATCAGTCTGATCTACTAGCCTAACCTGGAATAATATACCATCTTCTCTCTAATAGTAGTGCACCCTGAGCGTCGCCTAAATTCCTTGAAATCTCGAGAACCGCTTATCAGAACCTATCGATGTGGGGTCGGAAAATATAGCTAACGATGAGATCTAGTGGAGGATTTGAGTGTTGAGCTTCTGCAAAAGCTTGGAAACCGTAAAATCGTCGCCAACTCGGCTCGCCGGGGTGCACTACTATTAGAGAAAATACGGTAAAGGTTTTGTCCAATTGCATTTTAGCACTTGCGTTCTTTTCTTTTGCATGTATTTTCTCAAATTTAATAGCAATCTTAAATGCTTTCTTTGTTTTTTTTTAATAGAAAACATTACATTTACAAAGAATAAGTGAAAACAATTAAACACTGATTTTCCTTTAGCCGGCGTATTCCTTTAAAGCTTTTCCCCTATATTTTTCTACGTTAAATTGTTGAAATGACTTTACTTCAGAAGAATTTCTGTTTTAAAAATAGTCACACAGGTGGCTAAGAAAGTAAAAAATTTTTTGAATCATTCGAATCATTCGATCATTTCCTCCAAAAGACAAAGCTCGATTTTATGACTCAAGAGCGAAATTCTTTGAAGCTAAAAATTCTTTGAAACTCGCAAAAATCTCTTTTGTTTTTTCTTAAATAGAAAATATTCGATTTTAATTAGAATAATTAGAAAAAAAGGTGGAAAAACAGACTTAAGAAGATATGAAAAAAAAAAGGTGGCCAATCAAAAAAATGAAAAAAATGAAAATAAAAAATGCCGAATGAAAAAAACAGTCTTTTCTTATCCCTTTAATCGAGTGTGTTCCTTTGCGAGTAAGGAATTACTCGAGTAAAATTCGCATCAGTCATTTTTACTCGATTAATCGACGTTTTTTGGTCGAGTAACTAGTAATCCTCTTTACACGTCGAGTAAATTGAATATCTTTACTTGTGACGGGGAATTTGCGACCAAATCAGTTAAACGGTTGAATATCTTTAAAAAGAGTCGTATATAAGATTTTTTTGCGAATTTTTTTGCAAATTTTTGCAATCATTTTGGGGGTGTGACAAATGCGACCTTTTTTTTGCGCACCTGGACATTTGCGCACCTTTTTTTTGCTGGAAAAGGCCTTAGGCAAGGCCGTAGAGCTTCGAAAATATTTCCATATAAGGGAATCGTATGCGTAGATTCCGAATTTCGACAAATCAGACCTCGCTGACACGTCAAATTTGGGCTAAAAGGCAAAAACTGCGGAAAAGCGTGAAGTTGCGTAGTTTTTGCCTTTTAGCCCAAATTTGGGGCTTCAGCGAGGTCTGATTTGTCGAAATTCGGAAACTACGCATACGATTCCCTTCTATGAAAACATTTTTGAAGCTCTACGACCTTTCCTAAGGCCTTTTCCAGCAAAAAAAAAGGTGCGCAAATGTCCAGGTGCGCAAAAAAAAGAAAAAAGGTGGCATTTGTCCCACCCCCACTAAATCAGTTAAACGGTTGAATATCTTTAAAAAAGAGTCGTATATAAGATTTTTTGCAATCATTTTCTCTAAAAGTACGCTAATTTTTCCTAAGTGTGCGTTTAAAAAAAAAAAACGCATTACTCGTGAGGAACACACCTCTACACCTTTAATGTCTGAGGACTCTCTCTCTCTCTCTCTTGAAATCAATTCAAAAAAGAAAATCAAGACTCTGATTTGCTTTGATTTTTGGTTGATCTCTTTTAAAGTTTTCAAACGTTTTCAAAAGTTTTCTTTGAAATTTTTTTGAAAGCCTTCATCGTCATCTTCCCTTCACCACCAAAAAAAGCTATTTAGTTCCCCATTGAGCTTAGGGTTAGGGAGCCGTCTGTCATGACGTGGGTTAAGTTAAGATATAGCCTAGTATTGTGTGTGTCGTTGTATTGTGATTGATATATTTCGTGTATGCGATAAATTCACCACTGGTAGCCCCAGTCGGTATTTTTAAAGCTCAATTTATAAAAACATTTTTATTTGAGAAAATTTCGAAATTCAACCAAAAATCAAAGCAAATCACAGTCTTGATTTTCCTTTTTTTTGAATTGATTTCAAATGATAAGCCAAGTGGCTCCTTTTCAAGGCTTATCACCTCAATTTTGAAGAGATTTTGAAGAGAAAGGAGAATTTCTGGAACAAATTGTAAATCATTTTTTAGTCATAAATTACTAAAAATTTTTACAATTCTTTATTGAAAATAAAAGGTCTTTTTGATTTTTTGTTTATTTTTTTGCTGTCACAAATGTACAATGGATTTGCTAGAAGAAAGCGATCATCGACAAGGCGATATCGGGTAAAATAAATAGAGTTTTTCTTGAGAAACTTGTGCATTCAAGTATATGATTCTGTTTTTTTTTTAAATAGAATCAAAAATTTAATCATAAAACTCTAGATACTCGTCTGCTTTGCTCTCACATTTGCGTTGATCTTTATTTATTCAACAAATTTTGTGAATATATCGATGATTGGTGAAAAAAGTGTGTTAATACAAGGGTTGAAATTCCCCTTTCAATGCCCCCTTTTCTTTACAATTTCAATTCTTTCATTTATTATTGGAGATTTTACGCTTAAGCTTAAGAAATTAAGAAGTAATTGCTTGCTTTGCTCTCACATTGGCGTTGATCTTTATTTACTCAACAAATTTTGTGAATATATCGATGATTGGTGAAAAAAGTGTGTTAATACAAGGGTTGAAATTCCCCTTTCAATGCCCCTTTTTCTTTACAATTTCAATTCTTTCATTTATTATTAGAGATTTTAAGCTTAAGGTTAAGAAATTAGGAAGTAATTTGATCGTGAAATGATTTGAAATGTTCAACTTTTTCAAGTAAGTTTTTTTTTCTTTCAATGCTTTCATTTAATTCACCAATTAATCTATAGTTTTCTCGCAAATAAAAAGTGTTTATTGTTTAAATTTCGATCTTTTTAAGTCAATTTGGATTCACTTTCGGGTAAATTCGAGTGAAAAAAACATGTTTTTCGTGCAAAAAATCCAAAAAACAAAGGAATTTGGCTGAATGAATTTCTCTGACAATGAAATATGATATTTGAAAAAAGATCGTCACTTTCCCGTGTCTGTAACTCCCTTGTCTTTACCGTATTTCTAAATATCAATATTACCATTGTGTAGCCCTTGAAAAGAGCTTTCAGAAAATGTAGAACACTAATAGTTTAAACTTAAAGACAAGAGAGTTAGAGACGCGCGAAAGTGACGATCTTTTTTTCAAATATCATATTTCATTGTCCAGTAGTGTAGCTCAGCCGATTTAGCATTTCCTAGCGAGTTCAATCCAAACTCAAAACCCTATCAATACTCATCTTTCACGTCTTTCGTTTCTCTCACTACTTTCGCGCGTCTATAGCTCCCTTATCTTTACCGTATTTCTAAATATCAATATTACCATTGTGTAGCCCTTGAAAAGAGCTTTCAGAAAATGTCAAACACTAATCGTTTAAACTCAAAGACAATGGAGTTACAGACGCGCGAAAGTGATTTTTTGAAATATGATATTTCATTATCCAGTACTGTATATACTAAACATTTTATGCTCTTCTTTTTTAATCTATTTTTCTAACTTTTATCTTAAGTTTCTTTAGCAAAATGTCTAAACCCTATCATCGCGTCCTTTTTTTGGATTACCCAACTTTAAGCTTTCACAAAAAAACAAACCAGATAGAACATTTGAAAGCTGTTTTAATGCAGGAGAATCATTGACCATTCTAATGAAATAAAAAAATAGTTTTATTAATGCATTTGTTGATTTTAAAACAAGAAGAAAAGGTTTTAAAACGAGAAGAAAAAATTTTTCTGCATAGCCTTATTTTTTTCTTTTAGATTTTGTTCACATTCGCGATGGCCTCTTCGACACTTGTCCACCCTATAATTTCACTTTCAACGATCCGCGAATATTAGAGAAATTGGGAGACGGAGAAGTGAAAAGTGGGGAAATGAATCGAGAAATTGTTTAGATTCTAAAGTGCAACTCTTCAGATTGCACAAAAATCGAATTCCTAACAATATTCGAGAACGGTCGATTGAGAATAAATCAAAATTTTCCCGATTATAAAGATTTCTCTTGTGCAGGCAGGTTTTTAAAATTTTCATTTGAACATTTCAAAATTCGCTTTCAGATGCGCTTTCTTTTACAAGAACTACGAGAATCGAGTCGGCGAATGGTGTGAAACGTTGCAAAAGAATTGCACTTATGAATGCGATGTGATTGAAGTGAATTGCATGAGAGATGGGAAATTGGAGTATATCTTTGCGCACTCGCAAATCTTTGAGTACAAGTGAGTTTAGCGAGTTGTTCTTTGTAAAGAAAATAAAAAAAATAAAAAAAAAAACACACTCCTTCTGGGGTACTTGATCTCAAAGAGTATAAAAAGGAAGTTTTCATTGTTGAATACTGAGGATTGAACCAGCTACAATACATTCAGCCGCGATCGAAAGCAAGTCTTCGGCTCACTTTATCGCGAGACTTCATCTCCAAAAGTTAAAGCTGATAGATTCCATCCAGATGTTCACATAATGTTGATCGATTCGATGGGATTGTTTTCTGTGTTGAGGTTGGGAAACTAGGGCAATAGTTAAATAAGGCAATAGTTGAATAGAGCAATAATTGAACTAGGCAATAGTTGAACAGGGTAGTAGTTGAACAGGGCAATAGTTGAATAGAGCAATAGTTGAATAGAGCAATAGCTGAGTAAGGGAATAGTTAAATAGGGCAATAACTGAATAAGGCAATAGTTGAATAGAGCAATAGTTGAATAAGGCAATAGTTGAATAGAGCAATAGCTGAGTAAGGCAATAGTTGAATAAGGCAATAGTTAAACAGGGTAATAGTTGAATGAAGCCATCGTTAAATAGGGCAATAGTTGAATAGAGCAATAGTTGAGCAGAGCCATAGTTGAACAGAGCTAAAATTGAATAAGGCAATAGTTGAACAGAGCAATATTTGCATAGAGCAATAGCTGAGTAAGGCAATAGTTAAACAGGGCAATAGTTGAAATATTCAGACAAATGCCGGAGACAGTTAGATTTCTGAGGGAAGAGCTCGACGCGGTGATATTCGAGCAGTATACACGAACCGCGCCGAACAGTCGAGATAATATGTTCGCAGGGATGTTTGGTAAGAAATTGTTGATATTTTAGCAAATTATTAATCCCAGGTGAGATCCCAATCGATGTGGATCGTCGCCTTTACGAAGCGAAGAATCTCCCGAAAACTCTTCAAGGGGACACGTGTGAGAAACCGGTTGATGACAAAAATTTCATTCAATTCGAGTATGAAGTGAGCACTGAGAAATGTCTTTATCAATCTAGTAATTGATTTTGAAATGGATTTTTGTTTGAATGAGTTGAATAATGATGTAGAAATAGGCTTTTATAAGGCTAAATTACAGGCTAAATTACAGGCTCAATTACAATCTTTACGATAGCTATTTCTTAGGGTTTTTCTTAAAAAGTTGCAAGATCTTTTTTCAGGATGCTGGCTATAAAACAATGTACGCACAGGACAACTATTTAGTGACTTTCGGCTATCTTCAGTGTCTTGGAGTGATCAACCAAATAGCCACACATTACATGAGGTGAATGCAGCTTTGAGTAATCGGAATAAAGCTTTTTTTAGACCCTTTCAACTCATCGAAATGATTAACAACGATGTGTGGAGTAATAAGTAAATAAAAATCGTCGATTCGATCAACGATAAAAGCTTTTAGACCAATCGGGAATCGTTCCTTTGAAAATGATAATCTCTTGGAGAAATACTTGAGAAATTCGTCACTTTGTCAAGACCCATACAATCATGCATTAGACTATACAGCTAAATTCTACAATTCATACAAAGGTTGAAAGATAAAGTATCTTCTTTTTTGTTAAAAAGTTCATCAAAGTGTCTTCTTTTTCGTTAAAAAGTTCATCAAAGTATCTTCTTTTTTTTCTCTTTTGCTAGTGACTTTTTGGTTATGAAGTTATGTCGTTATGTCGTCAAATAACTTGAGATTACTACAATTTAGATAAACCAAAGATGTCAATAATGTGGAGCTCGTTGGCGCATCATGACGAGTTGCCCGCTCGGCAAGCTGATCGCCATTTTGTTGATTTCTTTTTAGAACACAAAGAAAAGGTTTGTGTCGATTTTTGCTGTTTAGTTGAAATCAATTTCAATTCCCCAATGCCAAAAATTCAAAATGCGCATTATTTTTAAAGCGTTATTATTTCAAATTTTAGTTAGATGAATCATTTTTCATCTTCATGAGCGATCATGGTCAACGCTTTAATGCGGTTATTATTCTAGGAATAACTTGGAAAAGTTGTTTTTTTTAAGATCGCCGACACAGAGCAGGGTTTATACGAGATGAACAATGCGGCAATGTTTTTCTCGTTTCCGAAAAAGTTACGGTAAGTGATGATGTAGCTTACAGAAAGTCTACAGCTTACAGAAAGCCTACAGCTTACAGAAAGCCTACAGCTTACAGAAAGCCTACAGCTTACAGAAATCTTTCTATGCTTGGCACTGAAGCTAGAGATTTGATAAAAGACTACAATAGAAAGGAGTAAAATTTTAGAAACTCTCCTCTACATATGCAAGCAAAAGCGAACGCAAAGCTTCTTTTTACACATCATGATCTCTATGCAACGTTGTTGGATATGATTCGAGTGGGCTTAAAGGGGTGGAAGTTGAATAGAATAAGACGGTAAAACACAAAATGCCTATGCAACAAAGCTTCTGAACAAAAACTCGTTCACTATAGTCATAATTCAAAATAGAGCTTTCCTCAATAATAATAATACTTTATTCAAACGATAAAGTGAAAGAAATCATAGAGAAATGCACAGTGATACTTAATCATACAATACATACTGAAATTCAAAAAGAGATTTCCCAGATTACAGTCTATGCATATTTATAGGCCATATACTGGCTGAAAATTACGTGCTGAAAATTACGGTGGCTGAAAATTAAGTGCGCCAAAGAAAACGTCATAATTTAATTTTCTTTCAAAGAACATGTAAAAATATTTATTTATATAATAGTTGTAACAAAAGCATTTAATAATTACAAGAAATTTTCGAAGTGGCCTTCATCCGCTTTGATACAGGCTTCAATTCGCTTCTTCACAGAATCGACGGTGCGGCGGAGATAATTTGCATTTCCGCCGCACCGTCTCCAATGCGTGGAGATGCAAATCATCTAAATCGTCTCAGATTTTGATCAATTCTCGACGTAAATCATGCAAATTGTTTGATTTTTCAAAAAGATGAGTAGTAATGCTTTATACATTGTTTAAAACTATGTCAGATGCTGCGCGCACGTAATTTTCAGCCACCCTGTAGATGTTGGGTTTTCTGATTGTTTGGATATTATTAGGATATTGTTAGGGTTTTTTTTGTGATTCAGTTCAAGCTCTATTTAGTAAATCTTGCAAAACTTTATTTCAGCTTCAACCGTCGTCGAATTTTTCGGAAACCAAACACCAACACATTGAAAGTATTGAAATTTTATAGAATTTTATAGAATTTTATAGAATTTAATAGATTTCCGAAAATCTAGAGACTTTTGGGACTTCTTGGCTTCGAGAAATGCCACCAAACATGTCGAGGGGATGTCGAAATTTGCCGATTTCAAGTCAATATTGCACTTGCAACTACGGAACAACACTGCTCAAAGAGTACAAGTTTTTATGATTGAGAAAGCAATCTTTACAAAGATTTATTGAAAGATTTATTATTTAATCTGTTCTTTTTCAGGCACGACAAAGTTTGGGATCGGATTCATTGGACTCTCGATGATGATATGAATGCCTATTTGAAAGAAGGAGGTTTGGAGAAAGTTTGCGAGAAAATGAAAGTCATGAAGGTTTGTTTAGATTGCAAAAAACAATTGCTACAATGATATTAAAACGATTTAACCAATTCAGTTGACCGAAATCTACAAAATGAGCTCAATGGGCAGCTCGTCTTTCTATCGGGTTCTCTTCGAGAGTGTTACCGGCGGGATTTTCGTGGTTTGTTTAGAGCGCAAAGCACAAAAGTTTCTTGATGAGCGCTTTTCGATTGAAAGCTATCTCAAGCTATCTAATTAGCTTTTGAAACAATTTTTAGGTTCAATACGAGTTGACGAAAGACGATGTGCTGAGGCCGTCACCGCGTGAGTGGAAACGTGTGAATGCGTCAGTTTTTTTTTTCAGTAAACTTGTTCAGAGGTTTAAGCAAGAATTTCAAAAAGAAAATTGTCTTAATAACAATCCTCAAGTTCTCTATTCAGCTACGGAACAGCGGCTGATTGTCTCCACTCGAAGTATGCTGAGTATAAGCCGATGTGCTATTGCTCGTGATTTTGTCAATTATTGTTATTTTGGGTTATTTGCATAATGTTTTATAATAAATATGGATAAAAGATTGAAAAGAGAAAAGAGAAAAAAGAAATGCAGCTCAATAAATAAACAAAGAAAACAGTTTGTGAAAAGAAAGAGAAAATGAAAAACAGAAAACTTTTTGCTTTTTTTGAATTTCACAACTTTTTATTTAATTTTATATAAGAATTTTTCTTGTTAACAGTGTTAAAGTCAAGATACTATTGAAAATCGTTTCTTCCAACGCAAAAAGACATTCGGGAGAATTTTTGGGGAATAATTAGCTGAGTTTTTCAATTACCTAAACCGGTTGCGGAAATTTCCATTCAAAACTATTCCAATCGAAGACAAAAATCGAATAATGCCCCATTTTTGATTAACAGTAAGTATTCGCAAATTAGCGAGGTGAAAACGGTTTAGAAACACGTTCCTGAACACAAATATTGAATGAATGCACAAGTTATTCTGGCTAGGTCGACCTTGAATGGGCCTTTTGAAGATGAGCTTCACAAGTAATTTGGAAAAATTCAAGTTTAAGGAAATCTTAATAAAGTTCCTACTTTTTCAGAGAGAGAATCATCGACACATTTGCCATATTTGTGCCATGCAGTGCGTTTCAAATTCTTAAACACACCCTCTAAAGTAGCGAATTTTGCATTTTGAACACCGCTACAACTATTAATCTTTTTCTATTAGAAATAGCATGTCTTAAAACCTAAAAAACACGAAAAATAAGCATACTGTAAAAAGTAAAAATTTTCAAAATAGAAACTTTCTGCTAAATCAACCGTTTCAAATTCTTAAACGCACTATGAAAATATTTTTATTTATCGACGCAAATTAACAATCAAAGGTAAAAAATCAAAACTAATAATTTGTACACGCACCAGAACGATTAATTACTTGAAAAATGCGGTCTGGCATTGAATTGAAAAGGTTTTGAAAAGCAAAGACGTCGAGATAGCTTCAGGCCAAACGGATCGCTGTTTTAGGTACAAATATACGTCTTGAAACTGACGATGATTTTTGTAGGCAGCTTGAACAAGTATTCGGCATAAATTCCCTATCGGATTAACGTCAGGAGATCGAGCGGGTCAGTCCAAAGTTGCAATGTTGTTGTTGTTCAGCCAGTCTCGGGTCTCTCCGGCTCGATGAATTGACGCGTTGTGGTATTGAAACAAATCGGGAACGGTTGGATTTAGGAGCAAAAACGGCAACAAGCAATTGTTCAAGATATCTATCTAATGATCTTCAGAGCGACCGTTTCATCAGTACAAAAGGCGGCCCAAACCATCACAGAACCACCGCCAAAGTTTCGAGTTCCAAACACCAACGGATCACGTCGAAGATCCCTCAAATAGTAGCCAATCGGGCTTTTTTGTGCAAAAGCTCTACGACTGGTTGCATGTTCAATAATTGTCGATCGATATGTGGATTTTCCTTGATGGCTCGCCAAATCGTCGACTTCGAAGCGTCGATTTTCCGTTCCGTTTTCACTTCATTGATCGTTTTTCCGTGGATGTTGTTCATAATATGGTGTCTAGCTCGCGGTGCAAGCTTTGGTTTTGGCCCTGGCTTCTTCTTTGGTGAAGAAACGAACTCGAACTTTATATAATTTCGCACGGCAAAGTCGGATCGGCCCAAATTTTTTGCGATTTTCCTTATTGAGTCGCCAATCCTCAAACGGGCACCAATCTGGCTTTTCTCATAATCCGTGAGCAGCTTTCCGTGTGCCATTTACCTGAAAATTAACAAAAATTATAAATTCAATAAAAAAATATTCACAACAAAACGAAAAATTTCAAATAACAACAACAAAGGCGGGTGCGTTTAAGAATTTGAAACGCACTATAGTACCCCACCCCCATAATGACGGTGCGGAGTGTTGCGTAGTTTAGCTTTGAACGAGTTTTTCTCGACACTGGTTTATGCTACAATACGCGCTTAGGTATCAAAAAATAGCCCTGAATTTCAGCTATTTTTTGATACCAAAGACGCATTTTTTGAAAGTACGAGCGCTTTGAAAAAAATGAAATACTAAAAAACTTTTGCGACTACGCGACTGTACGAGGGGGTGGCGTATTATTACAGTATTTACGGTAGATATTGATTTCTTTTCTAAATCTAGGGGGGTGGGACAAATGCGACCTTTTTTTGCGCACCTGGACATTTGCGCACCTTTTTTTGCTGGAAAAGGCCTTAGGCAAGGCGGTAGAGCTTCGAAAGTATTTCCATATAAGGGAATCGTATGCGTAGATTCCGAATTTCGACAAATCAGACCTCGCTGACAGGTCAAATTTGGGCTAAAAGGCAAAAACTGCGGAAAAGCGTTAAGTTGCGTAGTTTTTGCCTTTTAGCCCAAATTTGACGTGTCAGCGAGGTCTGATTTGTCGAAATTCGGAATCTACGCATACGATTCCCTTACGTGGAAGTATTTTCGAAGCTCTACGACCTTGCCTAAGGCCTTTTCCAGCAAAAAAAAGGTGCGCAAATGTCCGGATGCGCGAAAAAAAGGTCGCATTTGTCCCACCCCCCAAATCTAGTCCAAAAGTTCATATTTCAGTATTTTTCGGGTAAAATCACCTTAAATTACTTCGAAAATTTGAAATATATTTCGTTTCCATTTTCCTTTTGTGCAAAACTTTTCCCAGATAAGATAGTCAGCATTTAAAAGATGATGTTTATGTTATCATATGAGTAAAGAACCAAAAAAAAAAGTAAAATAAAAGTTTCTTTTCTTTAAAATTGTCTCGAAAAATAAAAACATCAATTTTTAGGGAGATTTGTTGAAAAAGAAAAGTGCAAAACAGAAAAACAGATTGCCTTTTCTTTTCCCTTTTTGTCTTTTTGGGGAGGAGTCACTTTGTACTATAGACAGTATTTATTTAGAGACACTGTTTCAAGGTTTCAAGGAGTTTTATGAAATCTCTATCTGATCTGGTTGTCTGGTTACCGTATTTTCATTTGTCTTCACCTTATTTCATTATTTTTTTTCGTATCTTCTAATCAGCTATTGCAATGCAAGAACTAACAATAAGAATTGCTGTTATAAGAATGCGGAAATGACTTATTTTCAATCCTCAATTGCAACATTGTAGAGATACTGTAAAGATCTGCTGCCTCACTACAGTATACCTAGCTACTTTTGAATTAGATCTGCTTAATGAGTCCGGGCAAAATTTTCAGAGACAGTCTGCCTTGCTCTTCGTTTTTTTTTACTGTCCAAAGCTCCTTCGAGCTTGAAACCTAGTTCCCCTGGAAGCCCTGATTCTAGGCTACATTTTGATACTAAACATGGATAAGTCCTGTTTTGTCATTCTTTAGCTTTCGATCAATCTTTCGCCGGACTCGATAAGTTTAACGAGTCCAGAAAGTCCGGAAGTTTTTTTATTTAAAATGATCGAAATCTAAAGAATGGCAAAACAGAATCTAGCTATGTTTAGTATGAAAATAAAGCCTAAAATAAGGGCTTCCAGGGGTATTGGGTCTCATGCTCGAAGGAGCTTTGGACAGTAAAAAATAACGAAGAGCGAGGCAGACTGTCTGAAAATTTTGCCCGGACTCGTTAAGCAGGTTTATTTTGAACTATCAATACCTTATTGCTTGTAACAGACTTGCTTACTGTCTTACCTAGTTATCTCTATGCTCAAAATCTTTTCTAGAAGTTCAGTGCGCCAAAAGAAATGTTTCTATCGTTTGAAGAAGGCAAAGTATATGTGACCTTGAGTCTTGAGCAAGATTCTTTCTTCCTAAACATTTATTGTCTATTATTCAATGTTTCTTCTATTCACGTAAACAATACTCCCAAAAATCTATCTATTCTATCAATTTTTTGAATAACACACCGATTTTGATGTCAATTTTCTGGCAATAGAGATGATTTATAAAAAGAAAAAGAGAAAAGAATGGATAAAAAGAGTTTCGGGAATGAGAATGACCTCTCTTTTCTCACTTTTCTCACTTTTCTCACCTGTAAACATTCACAAAGAGTGAGAAAAGATTGTTTTGTTAATATTTTGAAACTAGTTCAGCGATTTGACTTGTTTTTCTGTCTGGTAAGTTATTTGGATCATTTATTTGGAATTGAGATTTGTCTAGTAATTGTTATCTCTTATAAATATTTGATAGATTTAAGATTTTCAATAAAAATTAATTTACTAGCTTTGCAATTGTACACTACTGGACAATGAAATATCATATTCGAAAAAAAAGATCATCACTTTCGCGCGTCTGTAACTCCCCTTGTCTTTACCGTATTTCTAAATATTAATATTACCATTGTGTAGCCCTTGAAAAGAGCTTTCAGAAAATGTATAACACTAATAGTTTAAACTCAAAGACAAGGGAGTTACAGACACGCGAAAGTGACGATCTTTTTCAAATATGATATTTCATTGTCCAGTAGTGTAGTTCAGCCGATTTAGCATTTCCTAGCGAGTTCAATCCAAACTCAAAACCCTATCAATACTCATCTTTCACATCTTTCGTTTCTCTCACTACTTTCGCACGTCTATAACTCCCTTATCTTCACCGTATTTCTAAATATTAATATTACCATTGTGTAGCCTTTGAAAAGAGCTTTCAGAAAATGTCAAACACTAATAGTTTAAACTCAAAGACAAGGGAGTTACAGACGCGCGAAAGTGGCGATCGTTTTTCAAATATCATATTTCATTGTCCAGTACTGTATATTTTAACATTGCTTTAATACTTCATATAACTTTGAGATTCCTTTAAAGTAAGTTTCACTTTATTTGTCAGCTCTTTGATTGGTCGTTTTTTCTTCTATACTTTCTTTATTTAAAAGTACTATTAACAGTAGTCTCATTTCAGCAATCTCATCAAAAAATGCGAAGCCTTTTGATCCTTTGTGCTGTACTGTATGCAAGCTATGGGCTGAAGTGTTATAAAGATGCGAGCAAAGGTGAAGGACACACAGAGACGGTGAGTTATGCCGCTAATCCTCTAATAGTCCCAAAATGGGCGTACAGTTGCGTAGTACAGTCGCGTAGTACAGTCGCGTAGTACAGTTGCGTAGTACAGTTGAGTAGTACAGTCGCGTAGTACAGTCGCGCAAGTACAGTCGCTAACTTTAAACGTCTCATTCTCTGCTTTAAGCTATAACGTTCGCTTGGGTGTCAAATGATAGCCCTGGTACCAAAAGTGTATTTAGGAAGAAACTAGGAGCGAAGAAAAATGAGTTTCTAAAAAGAAGTTAAACTAGGCGACTGTTCGAGGAAATGGTGTTCTATTAGAGTATTTACGATAGCTGTTAAAGTCTACATTTGGTTGTACAGTCTACAGTTGGTTGTACAGTGTACAGTTGGTTGTACAGTCTACATTTGGTTGTACAGCCTACATTTGGTTGTACAGTCTACAGTTGGTTGTACAGTCTACAGTTGGTTGTACAGTCTACAGTTGGTACAGTGAATCAGCGGATCGGATTTTTTGATTTGATTCAATCGAATTCAAATAAAATATGCGAATAAGAGTTAGAGTTAAGCTAAATTTCAGAAAAAAGAGGTCGAATGCGTTTGCGGGGACTATTGTGTGAAGTATTTTGCCGAGGTGACAACTTTACTTTTTGGAGTGTTGTTTACAATTGAAAAAAGCTTTTAAACTTATCAATATTGTTCAATAATAATATCAATATCCTGTAATCTTTTAAATGACTCATCTTTTAAGGGAAAAGGTAAAGAGATTGCGAAAGATAAGCAAATCAAACACGAGAATGGACAAGGAATCAATGATGAAGAAGCAGAAGAAGGGAAAGAGAAAGAGAAAGAGAAAACAGTTGTGGAGAAGACAAAGACAGAAAAGGTTTGAAATGAGTGCAGAAGAAGGCTCACCTTTTAACAAACAAAGTTCTGTATCGAGACTGCACTTGTTTCGTTATCTTTTAAACTGAAACACCGATTTCATTCACTTCACCGAATCACCGATCTTTAAAAGCAATAACCTCGACTCAACAATTAGAGAAATTCTAGAACTAAAGCTTGTACCAAGATCTATTCTTTTTTAACACCAGACTTTGCTTTGCTTGTCAACTGTTGTCAACTGTCAAGAAGGGGAAAGTTTGTATCGAGATTGCACTTGTTTCGTTATCTTCTTTAAACTGAAACACCCAGATTTCATTCACTTCACCGAATCATCGATCTTTAAAAGCAATAACCTGGACTCAACAATTATAGAAATTATAGAACTAAAGCTTGTACCAAGATCTATTCTTTTGTAACACCAGACTTTGCTTTGCTTGTCAACTAATCTGCAAATTATAGTGTTGAAAATTTGCCTAACATTGTCACAAAAAAACGTTCACTAAACAATAAATTCATTTAGACAACAACAGCTCGAGCAGCTAGCTGGGATTGTGGATGCTCTCGAACAGGCGGTTTCCAATCAGATATGTGCAAGGTGGGAATTGGTTTTCAAATGGATAACAACCAGTAGAGTTAATCTAAAGCTAAAGTTACTAACTCTAAGATTCTCTAAAATTTACCTTAGCTATTCCCCGTTAAAGCCAGTAGAAAAGGCGGTTTCCAATCAGATCTGTGCAAGGTGGGAATTGGTAATCAAATGGATAACAGCCATTTGATCATTTGGATAACAGCCATTTGATCTAACAACTAACACTAAAATTCTCTAAAATTTACCTTAGCTATTCCCTGTTTACCTAGCTTTTTTTATTTAGAAAACAAGAAAACAAAAATATAAACAAACCAAGTCAGAACTGGATTACGATAGCTTTTTCTAGGCTCATCTTTTAGCAAACAGTGACTAACAACTGACTTTGATTAACAATGACTTTGATTAATAATGATTTTGACTAACAATGACTTTGACTAACAATGACTTTGATTAACAATGACTTTGACTAACAATGATTTGGACTAACATTAATTATTTCTAAAAACTTTAAAGATACAGGAAGAAGGTCGTGGTGTATTCGGTGAGAATCCCCAATTGGAAGTGACCTGTTGCAAGGGAAATTTGTGCAATGCAGCCGTCGGGAAATTCTCCCTTTTTGCCTCATTGATCTCTCTTTTTGTTTTTTATTTGTGGAAACACTAGATTCATTTCAATAGATTGTATATATTGTTAGTGATTTTGAAGGGGTTTTTTTTTTATAAAAGTTTTTAACATTCACTTATTCCAAAGTGTGCTAAAAAAATGTACAGAAAAATAAATGATTTCAAGAAGATTTCTTTAGAAATGCAGAGAGATGAAAAATTTTTATTTACATTAGAAATTAATGGAATTATCGAAGAGATATCGAAGAGATCGTATAAGAGAAGTTTCCTATCAAGATTGTCATTTTTTTTGAGCGAACCCAGGTCAGGCAAGATCTGGTTTCTGGCTTGGTGCCGGTTTGCCCTACAAAGATCCGCCAAAAGTCATCAGAACTAGCTTCTGACCTTTGCATTACTTTGAGTAAAGCATAAAGTCCTACCTGGCGGCAAAGCGATACGTGGCAATGTAGCTCATTGATAGAGTGTTCGTCCAGCAAGCCAGAAGTGGCGGGTTCAAATCCCGGCGCCGACCATGTTTTGTATTCCCAGCCTTAGCCCATAGAAGGACTTTGCCTTCATGCCTTGCCTTCATGCCTTGCCTTCATGCCTTGCCTTCTTGCCTTGCCATCTTGCCTTGCCTTCTTGCCTTGCCTTCTTGCCTTGCCTTCTTGCCTTGCCTTCTTGCCTTGCCTTCTTGCCTTGCCTTCTTGCCTTGCCTTCTTGCCTTGCCTTCCCGCCCCCGCCTGCCCTGCCTGCCCTTGCCCCTCGCCTTGCCCTTGCCTTGCCTTCTTGCCTTGCCTTCTTGCCTTGCCTTCTTGCCTTGCCTTCTTACCTTGCCATCTTGCCTTGCCTTCATGCCTTACCTTGCCATCTTGCCTTGCCTTCTTGCCTTGCCATCTTGCCTTGCCTTACCTTCATGCCTTGCCATCTTGCTTTGCCTTCTTGCCTTACCAAGTCAAGTCTGATATGTCCTGTGGCCCAGTTAGAACATTTCTCCGCTATGATATGCAAATTGTTCGCCTCTTGTCAGGTTTAAAAGCGACAATTCGTTTTTCGGGTACTTGATTCTGCTTTGATGATTAACTTTTACCCAATGTGTGCCAAGTTTTGAGTTTTTTTTTGATGCCAAAGCGATTTTCGAGATCAACCGGTTTGACTCATCATTATCAATCCAAACTTTGAATGGTTTTTTTTACAAAATCTTTCAGAACAAGCATAAAATTTTCGACCGCAAATACAAGAAAGGTAAACATTGGGTTGATGTGGAAATTTTTCGGGAACAAAAAAATGACAAATCGGCTTTGAAAAAGTTTGGCATTTAAAGTCTGAGGTCTAAATTTTGCAGCTTCACTTTTAAGGTTTTTTTTTTTATTTTGCGCGGCCGATTTTTGACACTTTCAGAAAAACACGCATTCACAAAATGAGTCAAATCTCGGCACTCACATTTCTCTTTTTATTCTTTTTCTCGACAACAACATCGTTGAAGTGTTACGAAGATGAGAGCACGACAAAGCATCATTCAGATAAGGTTGATTTAAAGCTAGTGATATCGAAAAGATTTCTTGGATTGGAAAAATCAGAACACAAAGCACTTAACATTGTTATAATTTATATATCTAGAAAAAGGAGGTCGAGTGCGCTTGCGGAGATTATTGTGTGAAATTCTATATCGAGGTGAGTTGTTGATGGTTGATATGAGTGTAAATCATCAATCATTCTTCTTTCTTTTCCATTTCATTTCTTTAACCTAAAGATAACCCTTTTGAAAGTTGATAAGCTTTAAGAAAAAACAGAAAAAGTAAAGAAAAAGTAAGTAATAAAGTAAAGATTCTGAATTTCAGCTTGAACTATGCATTTGATCTAAAGCTAGCTATATTGCAAATGAATGCATAAACATATTATCTTAGATCTTAGATCTTAGAACAACTATTTAGAGAAAGGTAGCCAAAAAAAAATCTAAATTCCGTAATTTAGGTAAGCCGTTCAAATCCAGATCACATTTTTATGCATTTATTTGCAATATAGCTAGCTTTGAGTGAAGCTACAGGCCTGGCTACTGGCTTGGCTTCACGAGAATTGAGCTTACAATTAAGTTACTTACAATACTAATGAGTCAGCAATGTGAAATCTCAAAAATTTCCTTCTAGATTCGTAAAAATCTAAGAATTCTAATGAAATGATGTAATATAGGCAATGGGAAAAGAGGGTTCACAATGGGGATGCGGATGTTATAATGAGGTCGAAGGACAAATCAATATGTGTCAGGTGAGGAAAGGAATTCTATTTTTACGTTGATATTTATGAGAAAATGAAAATAGAATGGTACTTGTCGGTTATAAATTCACAAAGACTCATCTCGGTCATCAGCATCTCCATCCGAGTCCTCTCGGCTATCGATTTTCATTCGACTCATCGACTGATCACTTCAGACTAATCACTAATCACTGTTGTCAGCTCCTTGTTTAACCAGAGCTGAGTCTCTGTGGATGTATAACCGACAAGTACCGTAGAAAGTTCGCCTGATAAGCGAAAGGTTGCTGGTTTGAATCCGGAGTCGATGTGCCATTCCCAGCCATTCCCAGCCATCAAAAAACTGATATAACCGACAAGTACCAAAGGCACTTAAACACTGCTAAACTCTGGGCAAAGAGAATGCAAATCACAGTAATCAGTGAGCAAATTCCAAAGCATAAAGGTGATCAGTCAATTGTTAATTTCGAACTGTTTTCAGTACTTTATGAATAAGTTTTCATTTAGCAAAAAGGTCGCGATGTTTGGGGCACCGATCCAGAGATCGAGGTCGACTGCTGCACGGGGAATTTGTGCAATGGATCTGTGACAAGGCAACACTTTTTCCTCGTCTCATTCCTCACATTTGGGTTTTGTTTCTTTTTCTTTGGAAAATGAATAAATAAATGATTTATAATAAATAAATAAACAAGTTTGGAAAGATAAATTTGTTGATTTTTTTGATTTTTTGATGAGAAAAAAGATTTTTTTTGATTTTTTAATGAAAAAAAAAGAAAATAATGACAGCTCATCGCTCAGAAAAATCCGGAAATACATAAAGATTCGTTTTTAGTAAAAAAAATAAAAGATTGAGAGGAAAATTGATAAGAAAAAAAGGACCGTAATGTGGCTTTCTTGATAGATTTTTTTTAATAGAGAAAATTTTCGAAAGTCCAAGTAAAAAAACAATAAAAGTGATGAGTAAATGATAAAAATTCTTTGTCGATTAAAAAGCTAAATAAAAGGATGATAAGTTTAGCGTTTGGTCAGGTGATTTCACTCATTTTGAGTCGAGCTTTTAGCTGATTTGCAATTTGCAAAGCTACCCTAGCTCTAGATCTTGATTCTTTATAGAGACTAGCTTAGTTGATGCTACAATATTCCTTGTGACGACAGTAAACTACTTGATTTTAACGGCTAATTGAGCTGGTGATGATGTTTTAAAGTGTTAAACGAGTTCAAAAAAAAGTTCTTTGTTTTTTGATTGATTGATTGATTTGATTGATTTGATTGATTCGATTTCTTGTTTTCATTTGTTTTGTGGAAAGTTAAATCGTTTAAAAAAGAGTTTACTGAATGAATTGAGAGTCTACTGAATGAAAACTGAATGAATGAGTTAACAGAAAGAAAATTGAGCGTAAAGTTATCATATTTTTTAAGGCAACGATTAGAGTGTGTTCCTCGCGAGTAATGCGCTTTTTAAAACGCACACTTGGGAAAAAATTACCGTATTTTTAGCAAAAATTATTGCAAAAAAATGACGAGCCCCGCATTATATGGGATGCTTTTTAAAGATACTCAGCCGTTTAATTGATTTGGTGGGAAATTCCTTCCTTCCAATGTAAAAAGGATTTTTTTTTTGAAAAACCTGGGGGTGGGACAAAAGTGACCTTTTTTTTGCGCACCTGGACATTTGCGCACCTTTTTTTTTGCTGGAAAAGGCCTTAGGCAAGGCGGTAGAGCTTCGAAAGTATTTCCATATAAGGGAATCGTATGCGTAGATTCCGAATTTCGACAAATCAGACCTCGCTGACACGTCAAATTTGGGCTAAAAGGCAAAAACTACGCAACTTAACGCTTTTCCGCAGTTTTTGCCTTTTAGCCCAAATTTGACGTGTCAGCGAGGTCTGATTTGTCGAAATTCGGAATCTACGCATACGATTCCCTTATATGGAAGTATTTTCGAAGCTCTACAGCCTTGCCTAAGGCCTTTTCCAGCAAAAAAAAAAGGTGCGCAAATGTCCAGGTGCGCAAAAAAAAGGTCGCATTTGTCCCACTCCCAAAAATCGAAAATGACAAAAAGAACCCCGCAATAACGACACTTAAAGATACCAAACCGAACGATGGTAAACCAAAAAATGAAAAAACCTGCGCAAAAAATTGCTTTTATATTTTTTTTCGCGCAGGCGCACTTTTTAGAAAACGCATTACTCGAGTAAAAAATTACTCATGCAAAATTACTCGCGAGGAACACACTCTAGTAACGATAGGTAATGATATTGAAAAATTTTATTAAAATTGCTGATTCTGAGAATTCAGTAAATTCAATTCAATAACTCAATCGTTTAGATAAAAGTGTAAATTTGCTAGCTTTCTAGGGATAACCAAAAAAAACTGTAGAAATGAACTTTACAATCTAACCAAAAGAAAAATTTTATCAATTATACAAAGCTTTTAGAATATTCTCTTAAACTTTAACTAAACATAAGACGAATCAAACGTTCATCTTTTCTATTTCTAAGCATTCCCTTACATGAGATCTTTAATATTCAGAAAATAAACTAAAACTAAACCGTCAAATTCTTCAGAATGAACATTTCAAAGATTTCAACTCTTTGAAACTCGATTTTAAGGAGAAATATGAGAAAGGTCGTTTTCATTCTTTAGCTTGCCTGCGTGATTTCTTATAAAAACACTTTTGCTGGTTGTGGTTTCGGTATTTTTTCTGTTGTCCGTATCATTACCTTAAGTATCATTACCTTAAGTATCATTACCTTAAGTATCATTACCTTAAATATCATTATCTTAAATATCATTATCTTAAATATCATTATCTTAAATATCATTACCTGCCGTTACCTTAAAGAATATAATAAATTTACGCTCACTTTTCTTTCTGTTATGTGTGATTTCAAATTTGAAACTCTTCTGATGATTTAAAGACTTTCAAAAGAATATTTCTATTGTTCTAGATGAGATCCACAATTGCTTTCTGCTTTGTTTTGTTGCTCGTTTCGGTGGAGGCGCGAAAATGTTGGAGCGATGCCAGTAGCGATGGGAAACACACGAAAAAGGTACATTTCTTGAGTACAAGTTCGGCTTTGTTCTTAAGATTTTAAAAATAGAATTCGGGAATATCACAAATTTCAGAAGAAAGCTGTAACGTGCGATTGTGGAGATTATTGCATGAAAGTTGGAACAGACGTGAGTTGGAAAATGAGGAGAAATCAGTGTAAAGATGCAGATTTAGCTTGGGGGCTATGGCTGGGGCTGCTCGTGTTCAGCTGGAGGCATTGACCTTTGTCCGGTGAGAGTTTTCGAGAATTTCATAGCTTTTCGTTCGAGTTTTTCTTGAATTGGAAATTCCAGCCGGATTCTAGAAACTCAGGCGAATCTAGGGATTTGGCCAAGGCTAGACCAAGTTTTTTATCTATTCAGGTCCGGATCTGACTTCGTTCTAATGACCTAACAAAAAAAATAATCAAATAATCAAATAATCAAGATATCAAAATTTCTAGAACGACCAGAACGCCGTGCCGAACCTTTGGTGCTGCAAGAAAGACAAATGCAATAGCTCGAGTCTCGCCTCTTTCTCTTTCACCATTCTCTTCGTGATCTCAGCTTTCCTCTTAAAGTATTAGTCAATAAATGCAATAAATATCTTTACAAATGTAAAAATAACGGTTACCATCAAGTTCAACGCCAAGAAATCGATCTGGAACAGTGATTTTGGGGGAAAATCGAAAGTATTTCGATCACTTTATCACTAAAACACTCGAGATTTCCGGTGGAGAATTTTTCTCCAAACGCCCACGCTTTGCAATTCTTGAATTCTTGAATTTCGTGATAAAACGGAGTACATTCGTGGTTTTCTCTTGAGTGAACAAAGAGATTTCTCATCATTTTCTTTCTCTCTTTTTGGCTTTAAAGAAAAATGACTCACAAAAGCACTAGATAAAACTTGGAAAGTTTTGCTGAAAAATGGAAATTGATAAAGGAAACTGATATTGGAAACTGTCTCACTTTTAAGAATTGCTGAATTGAGCACGAATTGCTGAATTGCTGATTTCTCACATTCACCATTTGGCATTTGAATTTTTCAACAAAATTTTCGCTTTTTTGCAACTGTCTGACGCAAAAATTTCGATTTTGACTCCTAAAACTCAAAAGATTTTTTGAGGGTTTGATTTGATGACAAAAACAGATCGAGAATTGTTCCAAGCAAGCCCTAGAAATGCATAAATTTAGCTCTGCATTTAGTGTTGATATCGCTCAAGCCAGTCAAGTCCAGGCTAGACCTGGACTTGACCTAATCCGGAAGAAATTACCCTAAAGTCGCGAGTATAAGTTCTGTTTGGTTTTCGCATGCAAATTGACGGCTGTCATGCAAATTGACGATGTGTCGAGGGTTCGAACCCCGCTGCAGCATAACTTTTTTGCTTTTTAAGAACAATAGAAGTCAATTTATTGAGGGTTATAGCAATTTTATGCTGTTATTTGTTGCTCCGGGCGTGGCTCGGCGCGTCCGCCCTGCTCCTCTCCGGTGCTCAGTCTTATGGATCCCTCCCTGGCCTCTTCATCCGGCCAAAGTCCACGTCGACGGTCGAAAGAGATGCTTTCCAGCGTCTTCTTCAACACTATCGTCTGGATGTATCCATGCACATAACAAATAGCAATGGTCATAGGCTGTCACCCTGTAGTATCCCGCGCTCCAAGAACAATAATAAAAGTTTATATAACAATAAAAATGTATAAAAACCTTATACTCGCGACTTTAGGGTACTTTTTTTGGAACAGCCATTACCTTATCTCATCAATATTTTTGACTTGATAGAAGCTAAATTTGTGTAAAAATCTTTTAAGCTATTAGGTGACTTTTAGAAATGAAGATTGCTATTGGTATTTTGATTTCCTTGACACTCATCTCTTCGACGATCGCCTCGAGGAAATGTTGGGCCGATTCGAACACGAATGAGCATCACACGAAAGGGGTCAGGGTTTGAAAAGGGAAAAGACGATAATCAATGGATATTTTAGAAGGAAATTTTTGAGATTTCACATTGCTGACTCATTAGTATTGTAAGTAACTTAATTGTAAGCTCAATTCTCGTGAAGCCAAGCCAGTAGCCAGGCCTGTAGCTTCACTCAAAGCTAGCTATATTGCAAATAAATGCATAAAAATGTGGTCTGGATTTGAACGGTTTACCTAAATTACGGAATTTAGGTTTTTTTTTTTGGCTACCTTTCTCTGAATAGTAGTTCTAAGATCAGTTTTAAATCAAATGCATATTTCAGACTGAAATTCAGAATCTTTATTAGACTAAAAGAAGTTCAAATTTTTAGAAACGCGAAGTGACATGCGACTGCGGTGACTACTGTGTGAAGTGGCAGTACATGGTGAGAGTTTTTTTTGCTTTTCAATTCAATAAATTCGATAAGATTGATATTAATCGAAACCCGGAACTTTTACAGGGTGTTTATACGTGGGGTTGCTCGTGTTCGTCGGGTGTGTCGGGTGATCTGTGTCCATCCACTGAAAAGGTAGGTAAACTCTTCAGCTATGCCTCGAAATTTGGAAAGTGAACTAGAAATAGAAATACATAAAATTGCAAAAGGCTTTTGAAAAGCATAGTATAAACTGAAAATTTCAGGCCACTCCTGTCGGCACTTTTTACTGTTGCAAAGGGAATAAATGCAATGGATCGACAAGTGCTTTCAATGTGATGATCATCGCTTTTCTCTCGTCAATCTCTTTGTATTTTTATGTTATTGAAAATTACATAAATATTAATTATTTTCATAAAAAGCTCTAGAATCAAGTAAATTCCGTAAACGGAGATTTTGTAGAAGAATTTGGATTCAAATCAACGAGTAGATAAGATTTAAAGGGTTAGAAAAAGAGAATACATCTAATATTGAGATCCTTTTCATATTTTATAAAGTTTATTGTATTAAAAGCAATTGGAATTTATTGTTTATAGCTACAGTTTATAACTACAGTTTATAGCTACAGTTTATAGCTACAGTTTATAGCTACTGTTTATAGCTACTGTTTATAGCTACTGTTTATAGCTACTGTTTATAGCTACAGTTTATAGCTACAGTTTATAGCTACTGTTTATAGCTACTGTTTATAGCTGCTGTTTATGTTTATAGTTTATTGTGTTTTTCATTATTAGTTGATTGTTTTTAACGTTTGCTGGGATAATTTTAAAACACTGTTTTTATAGTAATATTTTCACAATGTTTTAAACAAATTAAGCTTTTTTATGCAAAAGTATTTTTTGAACCGTAAAATCTAATGGAAAGAGTTGAGAGTTATTGCGAAGATCGAAGCTATCTTAAAACTTGAAAATCAAAAGCTCGAGTGTAGCAACTTTCCTCTTTTTAAGTGTGTTATCTTGGGAATGTAATGATTCGTTTGAAATTCGTTTGAAATTCGTTTGAAATTCGTTTGAAATTCGTTTGAAATTCGTTCGTTCACTTGTCACTTTTCCACTAGATCACCAAGGAAATCGATCTGAAACAGTGATTTTGACTATTTTTTCATATTTTTTGCAGAAAAAATGAAAAAATGCTGAATTTTGCGAGTCGATTTAGACAGATTTATGTGCATTTCGTTTTTGAGAACTTTGAAAGGAGTGAGTCAACGATGATAAGAAAGGGAAAGCTTGACGTAAGAAGAGAATTATTAGCTATAGCAGAAGAAATACCAGTGAAAATGATTTCACGAGTTTGTGGAAAATGGAAACGTTTTGGTTTTCGGCCTTTAAATATTGATCCATTCAATTGACTACTTTTTTTTATTATTTTTACTATTTTTGTACTAAAAGATGAGTTAAATGTGTGAAAATTCAGATTTCAGCTATGAGCGTTTTAAAATTGGCTTTGATTTTCTTGACGCTTGTTCCAACGCTGGCTACGCGAAAATGCTGGTCGGATTCGAGCACAGATGAGCATCACACGAATTCGGTTCGTTTTTTTTTTGATTTTTCTTTTTTTAATGCAATGTATTTTAAAATCTAACTCTAACGTTGGTATTGAAATCTTTTTTTTTTAAATATGACTATCATTTCAATGACTCAAATAGCCATTTGAAGGGTTTTTTGTTGTGATTTCAAATGAGTTTGATTTGATTTTTTTGATCAATTTGATTTCTGATTTGCTTATACTTTTGAAAAAGGAGATCTCGATTAATTTACCTGCTAACAATCTTAATTTAAAGTTATTCTTTCAGAAAAAAGAAATCACGTGCTCGTGTGGTGACTATTGCTACAAGTGGAAGAGTCCGGTGAGAAATGTTGAAAGCTTTTCAAATTAAGAGATTTATGTTGATTTGAGTGTACAGATCAGTACAGATCAGCCATTCCTAACACTTGTTTCTTTTGAATTCTTTGAAGTATTGTTCAAAAGAACATTTAGTGACAAGAGAAATTGGTAATAAGCAAAATTTTCAAAAATCAATCAAACTCTGAAAGCTGAAAAAGATTTTTATCGTTAATTGAAGACGGCTGAACAATTGGATTTGAAATCTTTCTTTTTATAGCCATCAAATGAGAAAGAGATTGAATCGAAAAAGTGCTTCGATTGATGAACAAGTAGAAAATTTAAGCCCAAAAACAATACTGTAAAAGAGCTAAATATTGAAATGGAAAGCTGGATTGACATTTATCAAAAAAATACACCGTTTTCTGTTAGTAATAAGTACTGAATTCTGAATCGAAATGTTTATAGATCACTGGATTTTAGACGGCTTTTAAGAGCGCTAAAAAGATGGCACTTTGTTCTTCTTTCTCGTGATAATCCCTGTGATTCCTAAAAGTGTTTTTATTGAAGCAATAACTGTAAAGATTTTATGAAGTGATGAGTAAACGAATTGAATTCCTTATCAACTTTTATCGAAAGAATTCCACCGAGAATGAGTCGATGAGGTGAAGATCACTTTTTTGGTGATCAAATGGATATAGTTCAGTATTTGTTTTTTGTTTACTTTTAAGTGATTTATAAAACAAAGAGATTGTTATACTTTGAAAGTACCGCCCGCTAGTGTCCCCATTTCCATTGGCAATCTACTGGCAATATTGCCATTTTCTCGCTATCTACTGGATCAATTTTTATGATTTTTGTATAATTTGATGCGTAATTTAATTCTCCATCAAATTATACAAAAATCATAAAAATTATTTCAGTAGATAGCGAGAAAATGGGGAAATATAGTAGGGTTGCCAATGGGAATGAGGAGATTAGGGGATGGTTTGCTGAATGTATAGAGATTCGACGTTTTCAGATCGGTATTTACACGTGGGGATGCTCGTGTTCGGCTGCTGGCGAAATGTGTCCGGTGCGTTTGAAAATTTCACAAGGCTTTCAAAATTCAAAGTAGTGCAACCCTTTTGAGTAAACCATTTTCGGTACTACCGTATTTTCTCTACTAGTAATGCACCCAAGCGAGCCGATTTAGGCGAAGCTTTGGGTACACTACTACTAGAGAGAAGACGGTATATTATTCCAGGTTAGGCTAGTAGATCAGACTGATCTATTTCCCTAATATTTCCCGATGAACCGAGTTGGTGACTATTTTACGGTTTCCAAGCTTTCGCAGAAGTCCAACACTCAAATCCTCCACTAGATCTCATCGTCAGCTACATTTCCCGACCCCACATCGATAGGTTCTGATAGGCGGTTCTCGAGATTTCGTGGAATTTAGGCGAAGCTTAAAAATGGGTACACTACTATTAGAGAAAATAGGGTAGTTTTTTTATTCTTCAAAACCACTTTTCTAGGGGTCCTTTTATGCGTAGTTTCCGAAAAAACCCGACGAGAGCTTGGGAAAAGGCGTTTTAAGCCAAGTTTCTGGGTTCTTCAAAGTACAAAGCACTCATACAGTGTGATTAGAGCGATACACATAGGCAAGAGGTCTAAAAATCGTCAATCGTCTCAAAAAACATTTTTCGAAGCCAAAAGCACTTTTTCTGACATAATTTAACCTACTGATTACATTTCTGATCAAATTGAAGCAAAATAAAAAGAAATCTTTTTTTTTTCCAAATTTCGATTATGTGGTCCCCCACATGAGTCAAAATCTCAAACAAAACAAAATTTTCAATTTCTTTTGCCTCTACCAGTCCATTTAAGTTAGAAAATGAATATTCAGTGGTTAAATAATGGTTTTCGCTTTAGTTTTAACCTTGAAAAGTGCCCAAATAGTCTACAGTTTGGGCTCCATATAGAAGACTAAAGAAGCGCGACTTTGAAGCCCAGAAACTTGGCTTAAAACGCCTTTTCCCAAGCTCCCGTTGTGTTTTTCGGAATCTATGCATAAGACTACCCCAGCAAAAGTGAATTTAAAGCAAAAAAAAGTGCCCCCCCGTTGTAAACTAGTGCCGGTAAATTGACTCATTTCTTATAACGTGCAACTCGGCTTATATTCACTTTGAAGCCCCGAAACTCGACTTAAAACGCATTTTCCCGGGCTCTCACTGTGTTTTTCGGGATCTACGCATAAAACTAGTCCAGAAAAAGTGGTTTTGAAGAAAAAAAAACAATATAGACTATACTAGTCTTAGTAACCGATTTTCTAAAACGGATCACCACAAAAAAACTACAGTACTTTCTCAAAACTACAGTACTTTCTCAAAACTACAGTACTTTCTCAAAACTACAGCACTCTTGACTCGATTTTCCATTCAATTGGCTACTTTTTGATCTGAATTGAAAGATGTAATGAAAGGTGTGAATAGATTCGATAAAAGTTGAGATCAGATTACGGTAGTTGAGAAAGAAGGCACACTTTAGCTTGAAAATCAACTTTAACGAGACAAAAATTTACAGGGTAACGTTCTCGGCACGATCTATTGCTGCAATAAGAACAAATGCAATGGATCGACAAGTGCCTTCAATGTGTCGATGATAGCTTTTCTCTCGTTGATCTCTTTGTATCTTTTCAAAAGTGATTAAATATTTCTGACTAGGGGAGAGGCACAAAAAAAAGCAAAATGAACAGAAATCTGTCTGAATGTCTGAAATTTAGCAATTTTCTGTAAAAATATGAAGAAATGGAGAAATTGTTGACTGTTCCTGATCGATAGAATGAGTTTGACACGGGGAATGATCGCTAGAATGGAATGATTTTCACGGGGAATGATTTTCTGTGGACGTCTCAGTCGCCAGATATTTGGCCGCAAAGTTTTTGCATTGGAATTTAGGACACTCTCTATCGAAAATCGATCGGTGGTGTCGAGGTGACGCAGCGGATCCATAGGCACACGATCATGGTTCGAGTCCGGCTAGTCTCAAACGTTCTTGCTTCTTTTCTAAAAGATCCAGGCATTTCTTTAGCTAAGGTGTCTAAACCGCATCATCGAGTTAGCCCTTTTTGACTACCCGACTTCATACTCTCAAGAAAATCCAGGCATTAAATATTTTTAAACCCGTTTTAATGTTATTTTGCAGAAAAATAATTGCTTTTTCTAATGAAATCAACCGTAGTTTAATTCGTGCATTTGTTGGCTTGAAACGGCAGACGAAAAGGAACAAAAACACTTATGCATCAACCTATTAGATTGATTCAAGATGATTTCAGGATGCTAGATTGATTCAAGCTGATTTCAAGATGCTAGATTGATTCAAGATGATTTCAAGATGCTAGATTGATTCAAGATGATTTCAAGATGCTAAGGCAGAAGATCTAGATTCGAGCTATGATATCTGTCCGTTAAGTGAATAAAACCATTTGTGATCCTTTGCGTTCTCAAAAACCGCCGAAACACACCCCCGTCTGGCATAGTCGATACAACGATTTGGTGTATCGAGAAAAGTGGATGGGAAGGATAATGCCAGAAAGGATGCGTTTCTAGATTTGACACGAGTAGATGCATAAAAACGTCTTGAAACTCTCAAAAACTCGGCCTTTTTGAAAATATCGTACATTGACATGTACTTTTGAAATGCTAGAAACACACTCGTTCTGGCGTACCGTTCTGGCGTATTTATTTAGACGAGCAAAGAAATTGATGAATCAGGCTCAATTGAATGGATCAATTGGGTCAATTGTGTTCACCTTGCGCTTTGAAAAATCGATCGAAACATGTATATTTCGATTTTCAAAGCCCAAAGTGAACTTCAAAGCCTTTTTAAATCAATTCTAGTGTACTCATTTTGATATTTATCTTTTCAGAAATACGTTTGAAAAAGGAAAAGTCTAGTCTACTTTTGAAAATGCTAGAAACACACTCGTTCTAGCGTACCACATTTATGTAGACGAGCAAAGAAATTGATCAAGCCGGCTTTTGGGTTTACTTTGCGCTTTGAAAAGTCGATCGAAACATGTATATTTCGATTTTCAAAGCGTAAAGTGATAACTGTAAAGATTTTATGAAGTGATGAGGAAACGAATTGAACTCCTTATCAACTTTTATCCAAAGAATTACCTCAAAGCCTTTTAAAATCAATTCGAGCGTACTCATTTTGATGAATTGTTTGTTATGCTGAAATGCTGAAATGCTGAAATGCTGAAATGCAAAAAAAATGCTGAAATTTATCCCTTTGATCACCAAAAAAGTGATCTTCACCTCATTGACTCATTCTCGAAGGAATCCTTTAGATAAAAGTTGATAAGGAGTTCAATTCGTTTACTCATCACTTCATAAAATCTTTACAGTTATTGCTTCAATAAAAACTCTTTTAGGAATCACAGGGATTATCACGAGAAAGAAGAACAAAGTGTCATCTTTTTAGCGCTCTTAAAAGCCGTCTAAAATCCAGTGATCTATAAACATTTCGATTCAGAATTCAGTACTTATTACTAACAGAAAACGGTGTATTTTTTTGATAAATGTCAATCCAGCTTTCCATTTCAATATTTAGCTCTTTTACAGTATTGTTTTTGGGCTTAAATTTTCTACTTGTTCATCAATCGAAGCACTTCTTCGATTCAATCTCTTTCCCATTTGATGGCTATAAAAAGAAAGATTTCAAATCCAATTGTTCAGCCGTCTTCAATTAACGATAAAAATCTTTTTCAGCTTTCAGAGTTTGATTGTTTTTTGAAAATTTTGTCTATTACCAATTTCTCTTGTCACTAAGTGTTCTTTTGAACAATACTTCAAATAATTCAAATAAACAAACAAACAAACAAATAAACGAATAAACTAACAAACAAACAAACTAACAAACAAAGGAATTAACAAACAAACAAACAAACTAACAAACAAACGAATTAACAAACAAACAAACTAACAAACAAACAAACAAACAAACTAACTAACAAACAAATAAACAAACAAACAAACAAACAAACTAACTAACTAACTAACAAACTAACAAACGAATAAACAAACTAACAAACTAACAAACAAACAAACAAATAAATAAACTAACAAACAAATAAAGAAACAATAAATTCCAGAATCCTTTATCAAAATGCGAATCGTCTTTGTGTTTGCTGTTTTCTTTTTGGCGATTGAGTCGGCAAGAACATGTTGGTCAGGCAATAGCTTTACTGACAGTTTGAGTTGGAGTAGCGTGAGTCTTTTTTCTAAAACTTTTCAACTTTAACAAATCTTTTCAATATGATCTTCTCAACTTTCAGCGTAAGAGTCAAACGTGTAGTTGTGGAAAAGGTTGCGCGAAATACTACAATGTGGTGAGAAATGAAAATCATTGACAAAGCATTCAAAAGCTTTAGGATCAACAACAATGGTATTGGGGTTGCTCATGTTTCTACGACTATAATCAACAAAAAGATGTGGAATATTGTCCGAATGGGGTGAGTGAGAGGATAAACGATAAAAACTAAATAAAGGAACGCTAATCTTGACTGAATAATCTAATCTAGACTGAATACCGTAATCTAGACTAAATACGGTGATCTAGCTATTCTAGGCTGAATATCCTATTCTAGATTGAATACCGTAATCCAGACAGTCCAGACTGAATACTCTAATCTAGACGGAATACTCAAACCTAGACTGAATACCCTAATCTAGACTAAATACCGTGATCTAGCTAATCTAGACTGAATATCCTAATCTAGAATGAATAGCGTAATCCCGACAGTCAAGACTGAATACTCAAATCTAGACTAAATACCGCAATCTAGCGATTCTATACTGAATCTACTATTCTAGATTGAATACCGTAGTCCAGACAGCCTAGACTGAATACTCTAATCTAGACCGAATACTCTAATCTAGACTGAATGCTCCAATCTAGATTAAATACCCTAATTCTGCTATTCTAGACTGAATATCCTATTCTAGATTGAATACCGTAATCCAGACAGTCTAGACTGAATACTCTAATCTAGACTGAATACCCTAATCTAGACTAAATACCGTGACCTAGCTATTCTAGACTGAATATCCTAATCTAGAATGAATAGCGTAATCCAGACAGTCTAGACTGAATACCCTAATCTAGACTAAATACCGCAATCTAGCGATTCTATACTTAATCTACTATTCTAGATTGAATACCACAATCCAAACAGTCTAGACTGAATACTCTAATCTGCTATAAACTAAAGTAAATTCTAGAATCCAATTCGTGATCAAATGTACTGTTGTAGCAAGGATTTGTGCAACTCGACAACACCGAAGCTCGGCTTTCTTTCATTTCTCACGATTTCTCTATTTCTATTTAAAATTCTTTAATAAATTTAATAAATTTAAGAAATAAATAACAACAAATAAAAGAAAATCAAATTTATTTTCATAAAAGTGAAAAGAATAAATCTCAAAATGAAAGAAAGAAAGAAAGAAAGAAAAAGAAAGAAAAAAACTGGGATTATTCATCGGGTAATAGGAAACACGTAAAGAAAAAAAAGTAAAAACAAGTAAAAGAAAAGAATTTCTGAGAATTCTGAGAAAGAAAGAAAAGAATTGAGCTGAGGAATCGATAAAATTGAATACAAGAATGAAAGAGAGAGAGTTTCATTGGAAGGAATTTCATTTGATATCTCAAATGAGGATCTCATGAAATACATGAAGGAGAGATGAAATTTGTGGATTTTATTTGATAAATGAAATTTGAGGATTTCATTTGATATATCAAATTAAAGGATTTCATTTGATATATTAAATTTGTGGATTTCATTTGATACATGAAATTAAAGGATTTCATTTGATATATCAAATTAAAGGATTTCATTTGATATATTAAATTTGTGGATTTCATTTGATACATCAAATTTGTGGATTTCATTTGATACATGAAATTAAAGGATTTCATTTAATACATCAAATTTGACGCTATCCATTCTCATACGTGGAACTGCATTCATCTTCGAATACCTGAAAGAAAAGGTTTTTTGAAATGATAACAACTCTCAAAAGCTATCGTTATCTTTTAATATCTTAGAGATAAGATTACAATAGTCAAAATGTTACTAACTACAGTCTATAACGGAACGAAAGGGACCAAAAAAATTTTCCGTTAGATAGAGTACCGTTTTTTATAGCTTAGCGTCGGCTGGGACTAAAATTTCATTCCGTTATATAGTAGTTTTCCGCCATATAGAGTTTCATTATAGAGAGAGAGAGTCGATTGTAGTTCTTTATGACAAGTTTTCACCTCTTCCATCGCCAGTGAGACTAATTGAGAGTGATCCTCTTCAGCACTCATGCTACGAGCATCTCTAAAGATTAGAATATAGAAAAACATATAGAACGCTAGTACGGTAAATCTGGTAAGGCAATGAAAATCAGCCTTTCTACTCTTTCTAGTTAAACTCACGAAAAGCAACTGGCACTCTGTGGTCGCGGTTTCCCGTATTCGCTAGGGAGTAGACGATCTCGTGGCGTTCGAATCGTTGTCACTAAACAAGAGGTGTTACGACAAATGGATATTGAGACAAATAAATATTAGACGCTAAATCTCTCAAGACAATGGAAATCATTTACCAATCGATCTTGAGCATTCAGCTTTTGGTTGACGCTCGGGTGAGGCATGTGGCGTGGCAGTAGAGGAAACGGTTCTCACCCTTGACTGGGTCATTGGCTTTCTAGAAAAGTATTCGATTATTCAATTTCTAAAATATTACTTGTAACTGAGGAAGAACTTTTTCTTGAACGATCCATTCGGCTCACCACGTGGAGAAGCAAACCATTCGACAAGTCCGCTTGAAGAGTTCCTTCTTCTGCACTCAGCCACAGCACTGTCCTGGAAATGTTCCAGTGCACCAGAAAGAAACCCAGAAAAGATTTCTTTATAATTGTTGAACTCAAAAACAAGTCTCACTTTGCAAAACCTGTGCACAGCTAGTCCACAGTCTTTGCACTTGCATCCTTGTCGAAGGAAACCCCAAAGAAGCTTCGAGCAATGACTACAAGTGGTCGGTGTAAGAAATGTCGTTTCCCGGAAATCGTGTTTAAATCCTCTCCGTAAAGCCGTCGACAATTGATTGATTTTGACGAAATAGGCGCTCAACTCGTTCTTGCTGATCTGACCGTCTCTGAAACTTTAGAAATATATTTATATAAACAAATAAGGTACCATTAAGAGCACAATCCCTAAGCCCTAAATTTAGGAAAGAAAATAAAAGAATCAAAAATCAAGCTGCGGTATTGAACCCTTGATCTCACGACTAGGAGACGGGACTCTTAGCCAGTCGGCTACGGCAATCTTGCGTGTGGGTGGTAAAATGGTGACTATCTAGGTTAGTAATCTAACCGATGGCATTAGTTACCGTATTTTCTCTAATAGTAGTGCACCCCGGCGAGCCGAGTTGGTGACTATTTGACGGTTTCCAATTTTTCCCACAAGCTCAACACTCAAATCCCCCACTAGATCTGATCGTCAGCTACATTTTCCGACCCCACATCGATAGGTTCTCACAAGCGGTTCTCGAGATTTCGAGCAATTTAGGCGACGCTCAGGGTGCACTACTATTAGAGAAAATACGGTAGATACATTTCTTAAAGCCGAATCGACAATTGTCGTTAAGTTTTTTGTTTTTAGCTTTCTTAATCAGAATTTCTTAAGCAACTTTCTTAATCTTTCTTAACTTAACTTGAAAAATTCCAATCTTCTTCAAAGTAAAATCAAAAAAACAGCTTTCACTTTATTATATTTCACAATAATTTATCATTTTCTCTTCCCATCAAAGCTCAAATGATCCAAAATTTCAGTTTATTGCATTAGAAAGTGCGGAGAAAAAAGAAAACAGCTAAACGATTCTTCGCTAAATCGCCAAATTTCTCACTTTCCTTGAAGCGTTTTTTTTTTTGTTATGATCTGGTTTCTCTTTTCATCAATTGCCCCACTTTTTCAGTAGAGAATTGGATAAATAGGGTGAACGAAGGGGGGAAAGCTTGATAAGCCGAAGAAATTCCTCTACAAATGTTCACTTTTTGATGCTTTTCTAAAGCATTCATTTGAAAAACCCTCTTAATCTTTGACGAAGGGCTGAACAGCTTCATAAGCCGAGGAAATTCCTTTACAAATGTTCACTTTTTGAGGCTTTTCTAAAGCATTCACTTCAAGAACTCGCTTAATCTTTGACTCTTTTCAATTAAATTTCTCTTAAGCAATGATAATTTTAGAAATGATTTCCCTTCAATCGCTATTGCTATTAGCCGTCATTTTGGTCTTCGCTGAGGCTCAATGGGGTGAGTTTTGATTAGGGAAATGATTATGAAAATGATTATGGAAATGATTATGAGAATGATTTCTATCAAGAATCAACAAAAATTTCTTATTTAAGGTTGGGGCCGTCACCGACATGGAGGCGGATACGGGGGAGGATACGGTGGATATCCTGGATATGGTGGTTATGGAGGTGAGATTGCATGAATGAATTGCTTTTCAAAGTCTTCATAAAATCATTAATGATTTTAAGAAACTTTAACATCGAAAGAACGAATTTCTCTATTTTATTGCTCAAAAATCATTTCAGGTTACCCCTACGGAGGCTACGGAGGCTACGGTGGTGGATACGGTGGTGGATACGGCGGTGGATACGGCGGTTATGGAGGATATCCATATTATGGATAAAAAGAATTGACCCCAGAAGAGATAAATTATTACTTTTTTTTGATATTAAATCTATTTTCACTGTTGTACACTTCAATTTGACCTCAATTTGACCTCAATTAGACCTCAATTTCACTTCAATTTCACTCAATTTCACTCAATTTCACTTCAATTTCCCTTCAATTTCTGGCACCTGTCAACATCGATCGTGCCAAATGGTTCGATGAAGGGGAAATTGCCGGCGATTTGACGAAATTCCGCTTGACTGATGTAGCCATCCTAAAGTTGAGAAAAAATAAAGAGTTGAAAGGATATTGATAATAGAAATTGATAGATGTTAGTGTAGAAGTAGAGAAAGAAAGTAAAAATCACTTTATCATGATCGTAATGCTTGAAAACGGCGTCCACCATAGCGGCCACGTGTTTCTGCACTGTTTCCGGATCAGGAGCCTGAAAAAGTAAATTGTTATCATTTGTTATCAATTGTTATCAATTGTTATCAATTGTTAAGATCATTGTTCAAACCAAATTCTAGAATATATAAGCCACCAGCATTCTGTCGATCAGAAACCAAGCTATGTACTTGTTTCTAATTTAATAAATAATTGATCTTAGTATAGAAGCACTTATAGTTAACTAGTTAACTAATTAAAAGCTAAATGAAAAGCTATCAAAAGGGAAACGCACCTGTGACACCCCAGAAGCCCACTCGGCGAACACCACCGACTTTGGAGAGGATTCGAACTGGAAATTCTTTATGGAAATAGTAAATAAGTTGATATAGATTTTATGAAAGTTTACATTTAGCAGGGTTCTTGTTCT